ATCCACCTGCCTTTGCCTCCCGAGTGCTGGGATTTAAAGGCGTGAACCACCACTGCTCTGCTAATTCTTCCTGTTTTTTTTTTTTTTTTTTTTTTTTCTTTTTTTTCTTTTTTGGTTTTTCGAGACAGGGTTTCTCTGTGTAGCTTTGCGCCTGTCCTGGAACTCACTTGGTAGCCCAGGCTGGCCTCGAACTCACAGAGATCCGCTTGGCTCTGCCTCCCGAGTGCTGGGATTAAAGGCGTGCGCCACCACCGCCCGGCCAAATTCTTCCTGTTTTATAGATAAGGACACTGAGGCTCAAAAGAGCTGAACCTGGCTTGCTGGAGTCACACAAGAAGCTGGCAGCTCTGCTCTGCCTGTGGGGACCCCAATGCACCCATTTTTTCCTGGAGAGGGTGCTGAAGCTGCACCTGGGGTCAGAGGAAACAATGATGATATACTTGTGTGTGTGTGTGTGTGTGTGTGTGTGTGTGTGTGTGTGTGTGTGTGTGCATGTATGTGTGTATGTGTGCATATGCATGCGCCAAGTGTCCGTGGGTGTCTGCGGTGGCCAGAAGTGGGCATTGGATCTTTTGGTGCTGGAGTTACAGGCACCTGTGAGCCACCTGATATAGTTGCTAAGAAGTGACCTCAAGCCTTCTGGGAAAGCAGCAAACACACGTAACCTCTGAGTCATAGCTCAAGTCCTTATTATTCAGTTTTAAGACAAGGTCTCTTATAGCCCAGGCTAGCCCCAAGCTTCCTATGTAACTGAAGCTGGCCTTGAACTCCTTCCAGAAGCTAGGATAACAGACAGATGTCCATCATGACATCCTGTAGAGGAGGAATTGACTGTCTGTTTGGAAGCTCATAACTGGACAGCAAAGGGAAGTGGGACCGGTCCTGTCAGGTACTGTGACGTGGGAACAGCTCTTCTCATCCTCCTTTGCAGCAAACCCTGTAGGGAATATTCTCTTTGGTAAGTGACTGGCTACCTAACCTCGGCTTGAATGCCTCCAGTGACAGGGAGTTCATTACCTCCAAAGCCTGCCCCCCACAGATCCGCAGATCCATGCTTTTAGACAAGGTCACCTTCATCTTCCATCTCTCTTTCACCACCTTCTTCACGGCCACTCCATCCCCTTCTAGATCTTAATTCCTCTCTCTGGGCCCACCACCTGGGACCAGCTTTACCATCTGCAATCTTCCTGCCCCAGCTGGAAGCATGGCTACCAGAAAATGCAAATCTGACATCATTTGGAAAACAAAACTCTGATGCCTGAAAATAAAACCCAAACCACACCCACCCCCACCCCCACCCCCACCCCACACACACACAAGGACCTGTATAACCCCAGCTACCTGGGAGGAAGAGGATTGTAAATTCAAGGCCAGCCTGGGCTACATAATGAGATACTGTCAAAGATAGACAGACAGACAAGCAGGCAGGTAGGCAGGCAGGCAGGCAGACAGAAATCTGGCTAGGGATGTAACTCTATTGGTAGACTGCTTGCCTAGCATGCAAGAAGCCCTGGGTTGCATCCCCAGAACTGCACAAAACGGCATGGTATAGAGTACAGACCTGTAATTCCAGCACTTCGGAAGTAGCGTGTAGGCTGGAGGGTCAGAGTTCAAGGTCATCCTTGATGGCCAGCAAGTTCAAGGCCAGCCTGGGTTACCTGGGACACCTTGTTTCAAACAACCACCACCACCACCACCACCACCACAAACCTAAGAGTGGGAAGGCTGGGTTCACGGCTTCCACCTCACCCCAACCTGGAGAATGTCACCTCCCAGGCTGGCAGCTACACCCTACCCTCCAGATGTGAGTGATTGGTAGGTGGCCACTGTCTGGATTTGTGAAAACCAATCTGCACCCATTTGTGGAGGACCTCCGCTGTGCTCACTGTTCACATGTGTGTGTACAGATCCGTCTTCCTCCCCTCCCCCCACAATACACTTATTATTCTCTCTCTTAGTAACTCTCATTGTTCCGGCCAGTCCTCTGGGATTATGCCTCCAACAGTCCTTCCCCGCAGGGACCTCTGCTCCCCAGCCGGGGGGACCCTCCCCGACAGAAGGGACTGCACCTGCTCCCAGCACCTTTCCTGACGCAAGCTAAACTCAGCTGAGAAAATGCCTCCATCAGATTGCCTGTAGATGCCCAAGAAGACATCAGTGATTGATGTGGGAGGGCTCAGACCCACTGTGGGTGGGACCACCCCTGGCCACGTAGTTGTGGGATGTATAAGAAAGCAGGCTGAGCAAGTCATGGAGGGAAAGCCAGTGAACAGCGTTCCCCCACAGCCTCTGCCTCAGCTCCTGCCTCCAGGTTTCTGCTCTGACTTCCCTCGGTAGCACTGTGAGTTCTAAGCCGAAATAAAACCTTTCTTCCCCAAGGTGTTTTTTTTTTTTTTTTTTTTTTTTTTTTTGGTTTTTCGAGACAGGGTTTCTCTGTGTAGCTTTGCGCCTTTCCTGGAACTCGCTTTGGAGACCAGGCTGGCCTCGAACTCACAGAGATCCGCCTGGCTCTGCCTCCCGAGTGCTGGGATTAAAGGCGTGCGCCACCACCGCCCGGCCTCCCAAGGTGTTTTTATCACAGCAACAAAAGCCCTCAGACAAGAGTGAACCAGTCTGACAGAGTGGTACATGTCTGTAATTCCAGCACTGTGACGTGGAGGCAGGGGGATCCTAAGTTTAAGAAGATTCTCAGCTAAACGTCAAGTTCCTTCTGGCCTGGTCTATATAGGACACTGCCTTAAAACACAAACCGTTACGGGCTGGGGGTGGGGTGTAAAGAGATGGCCCAGCGGTTAACAGTGATGGTCGATCTTGCGGAAGACCAGGGTTTGGTTCCCAGCACCCACACAGTGGTTCACAACCATCTATAACCCCAGTTCCCTGACCTCCACAGACACGAGGCACACATGTGGTGCAGGGAAAACAGACACATAAAATAAATAAATCTAAAAAAATATTAAAAAAAATAACAGCAGCAGCAGCAACACCAAACAAAAAGGCAGAGTTGAGGAGATTAGCTCAGCGGGTAAAGTGCTCATCTTGAAAACAAAGACCTGAATTTGAGCCCCACAGCCTTTGTAACAAGCAGGACCCGGAGGCAGCCAAATAACTCAGCAGGTAGACCCTTGCCTCAAAGCCTGAAGACCTGAGTATGTATGCCCATCCCCGTGCGCGTGCATGCGCGCACACACGCGCGCGCGCGCACACACACACACACACACACACACACACACACATACACACACACACACTTTACGTATACAGTATACACACTACACTCACACACCATACACACACTGAACATTTACACACACTATACGCACAAACACTCTCACACATTCACACACTACACATACACACACACACTACACATACACGCACACACTCAAAATCCTAACACGAACCAAAAAACAAACCCCAACAAGTCAACCAGTTTCAAACTGGGAATTTAAAAGGTGGTTGACAGGACCCATGTGATTACACACAGTGGCCATGAGGGGGCGACAAAGAGGCACCCAGCAGGATCAGAGATTTAATTTGGCACAGTGGATGGGCGTAGGGGGCTCTTGTTCAACCTGGATCCTGCCAAAAGTGGTTAAGACCTCCTTTCAGATCTCAGCCAGGCTACGCAAATGCTCCGTGACTTTGAGAAATTTTCTTAACCTCTCCGACTCTGTTTCCTCCTGTGAGAAGCTAACCAACCCCAGAGTGGCGGCACACAGCTATAACCTCAACATTCCAGAGGCTGAGGCAGGAGGATCACGAGTTTGAGGCCAGTGAAGGATACATATCAAGACTCTGTCCCCCAAAACGAGCGGGGTATGGGGGGGCAGGGACAGACTTGGGGGCTACGGTGGGGTGGATGACAGACAGGCTCACTGGGTTTCTATGGAGGCTGGAGCGGTCCAGCCACACTTCCTGGACCGCTGAGGGCCAGGAGGAGCACCACTGGGAAGGGACATCAGCTCAGGCAGTCGTTTGTGTCAGGGCTGGCCACTGGCTAGGTGCACCGCTCAGCCTGGTTTATGTGGTGCTGGGGATGAGGTCAGGGCTTCATGCACGCTGTATACACCTGAAACCAACCAAGCCCCACTCCCTTGCTCTTTTCTTTCCTTCCTGTCTTTTTTTGAGAAAGGGTCTCATATAACCTGGGCTAACTTTAACTCAGCCTGGAGCCAAGAGACCTGCATTCACAAATGAACTCAGGAATCAAAGGTGGGGGGTGGGGTGGGGTAGGAGCCTGCTATGGGACGCAGCAGAATGGGGCTGGGCCAGGGTCGGCTCCAAGGAAGGGACTTTCTGGACCTCTCACTGGTGGGAAGGCAACCCTCTGTGTTCATAGGTTCCCACAGGATCCTAGAGTCCTCCCAGTGGGCTGCTGTAGAGGGGACAACAGAGCCAGAGGCGTTTTTCTTTGTTTTAAAATTCTTTTTAAGATAGGGTCTTGGGGGTAGGGATATAGCATAGGTTCCTGCCTAACATGCACAAGGCTCTGGGTCCAGCCCCAGCACCACGTAAACCAGGCATGGTGAATTATGTGTAATCTTAGCAAACTTGACTGAGCCACACCCCCAGCCCTTCACTGGGGGATTCTAGGCAGGGGCTCTACCACTGAGCCACACCCCAGTCCCTCACTGGGGGATTCTAGGCAGGGGCTCTACCACTGAGCCACACCCCAGCCCCTCACTGGGGGATTCTAGGCAGGGGCTCTACCACTGAGCCACACCCCCACCCCCTCACTGGGGGATTCTAGGCAGGGGCTCTACCACTGAGCCACACCCCAGCCCCTCACTGGGGGATTCTAGGCAGGGGCTCTACCACTGAGCCACACCCCAGCCCCTCACTGGGGGATTCTAGACAGGTGCTCTACCACTGAGTTACACCCCCTGAGCCAGGTCCCACTCCTGAGCCAGGCAGTGGTGCCCATGATGGACTTGGCTTTGAGCTCCCAGAACTGCGCAAGGACCGAGTGCCTCCCAAACACACAGAATACCACTTACCAGGCTTTGGGATGAGTCCTTGGAACGGCCTGCAGGGGAAACAGAAGTGGAGTTTCAGGGAAAAGGCACTGGGGATAAGACTATCACCAGATACACGACGACACAAGCTTGCCGAGGAATTGGTAACAAATGCCTAGGGCCCATTTCACATATTAATGTTTGATTCTTTCAGAGAGGATCTCTTGTATCCCAGGCTAGTCTTGAACTCTCTATGTTGTAGCCAAGGAGGACCCGGAACTTCTGATCCTCCTGTCTCTACCTCCTGAGTGCGGAGATTACAGCGGTGCACCGCTCAGCCTGATTTATGTGGTGCTGGGGCTGAGGTCAGGGCTTCTTGCACGCTGTATACACCTGAAACCAACCAAGCCCCACTCCCTTGCTCTTTTCTTTCCTTCCTGTCTTTTTTTGAGAAAGGGTCTCATATAACCTGGGCTAACTTTAACTCATAGCCCTCTTGGCTCCACTTCCCGAATGCTGGGATGAGAAGCATGTTTTGGGATCTGTACCATTCGTGTATGTGAGGTGGGCGTGGTGGGTACCTTTGCATGCATGCCAGAGGGTGACTTCAAGTATCTTCCTCAGTCATTCTGTATCTTTTTTCTTTCTTTCTTTCTTTTCTTTTCTTTCTTTCGTTTTTTTTTTTTTCTGGTTTTTCGAGACAGGGTTTCTCTGTGTAGCTTTGCGCCTTTCCTGGAACTCACTTGGTAGCCCAGGCTGGCCTCAGACTCACAGAGATCCTCCTGGCTGTGCCTCCCGAGTGCTGGGATTAAAGGCGTGCGCCACCACCACCCTGGCTCTGTATCTTTTTTCTTTTCTTTTCTTTTTTTTAATTTAAGGAAAGGTTTCCCACCTAGCTAGACAAGCAAGCCCCTGGAATCTTCTCATCTCTTTTCCTAATACGCCAGTGCTGCGGTTACAGGTACATGGGAGCATGCCCACATTTTTATACGGATGCTGAGGGTCCAGACTCAGGTCCTCAGGCTTGCTCAGGAAACACTTCCCCACCACACCAGCTCCCAAGCCCCAGAATCCACATTGCAACAAGATGCCCAGGCCATGTGTGTACACAGAATTTGTGTTTTCTCAGGGGGCTGGGTATGCCTAAGGGGCTGTTGCAGGGCATACAGTTAGAAGGGTGGCCAGCCACTGTGTGGAAACTCCTGAACCCCGTCAGGTCTGCAGTTCCTCTGTAACACCCTGTGGTGGTTTGAAAGAAAATGGCCCCCAAAGGGAGTGGCACTATTAGGAGGTGTGGCCTTGTTGGAGGAAGTATATCGCTGTGGGGGTGGGCTTTGAGGTCTTTTGCTTAAACTTTGTTCAATGTCTCAGTTGACTTCCTGTTGCCTGCAAGATGTAGGACTCTCAGGTACCTCTCCAGTACCACATCTGTCTACGCACACCACCATGATGATCATGGACTGAACCTCTGAAACTATGAGTCCCCACCACCATTAAATATTTCTTTGTATGGGCTGGAGAGATGGCTCAGCGGTTAAGAGCACTGACTGCTCTTCCAGAGGTCCTGAGTTCAATTCCCAGCAACCACATGGTGGCTCATGACCATCTGTAATGAGATCTGGTGCCCTCTTCTGGCCTGCTGTCATATATGCTGTATACATAATAAAAAAATAAAATCTTTAAAAAAAAGTATTTCTTTGTAAGAGTTGCCGTGGTCACGGTGTCTTTTTTTTTTTTTTTTTTTTAGATTTACTTATTTATTATGTATACAGTGTTCTGCCTGCATGTATGCCTGCAGGCCAGAAGAGGTGCCCTCATTATAGATGGTTTTGAGCCACCATGTGGTTGCTGGGAACTGAACTCAGGACCTTTGGAAGAGCAGCCAGTGCTCTTAACCACTGAGCCACCTCTCCAGCCTGGTGTCTCTTATAAAAACCCTGGGGTTGGGGATTTAGCTCAGCGGTAGAGCGCTTGCCTAGCAAGCACAAGGCCCTGGGTTTGGTCCTCAGCTCCGGGGTGGGGTGGGGGGACCCTAAGACACACCCCTATTGCAGGAATTTCTGGAGCCGGCTCCCGATCCCAGCCAGTCCAGCCTCAAACCCTCTCCTTCCTCATCAAGTACCTGGTGACTGTGAATTTGATCTTGTCAGCCACAGAGAGGATCCTTTCCAGGTTCTGGGAGCCAAAGGTGCAGGGTTTGCGGAATGGGATCCCGGGAGGCAGGCCCTCGATGATGACTGAGCCCGGATTGCTTTTGATTCGTTTGTAGGGTACCTGCACTGGGTATTTGATGCCCAAGGCTTCACCTGGATAGAGAAGGACAGTTGTGTCAGTTAAGAGGAAGCAGTGGAACAGGGTGTGTGGTGCAATATGGGAGCGTCTCTCCCAGTGGGCACAGGGCCCTTTTGTGGAAGACTGTAGAGACCAGTGATTCTCAACCTTCCTAATGTTGCGACCCTTTAATACAGTTCCTCATGTTGTAGTGAACCCCCTACCATAAAATTATTTCATTGCTACTGTGTGGTGGTTTGAAAGAAAACGACGCCCACAGGGAGCGTCACTATTAGGTGTGGCCTTCTTGGAGGAAGTGTGTTACTGTGGGGACGGGCTTTGAGGTCTTTATCTCAAGCTTCACTCAGTGTAACAATCAGTTGACTTCCTCTTGCCTCTGAGTCAAGATGTAGGACTCTCAGCTCCAGCACCACATCTGCCTGCACGCCGCCATGCTCCATGATCATAATGGACTGAACCTCTGAAACTGTAAGCCACCCTCAAGAAACGTTTTCCTTCTAAGAGTGGCTGTGGTCATGGTGTCTCTTCATAGCAATAGTACACTCCAACTAAAACACTACTTCAGAATTGTAATCTTGCTACTGTTATGAACTGTAATGTAAATATCTGACATGCAGGGTATCTGAGATGGGACCTCTGACAGGGTTGTCACCCGCAGGTTGAGAACCACTTCTGGAGAAGCTGTGGAGACTAGCATGTGTGCTGTGCGCGGAGTTTCTGGTGTGAATCCATGCTGGGTGGAGTGCAGAGTAGGAACGTGTGGTCCCAGGTGCTGGCTCTGGCGGCACTAATACTTCTCAGACTCTAGGCAGTGCTGCCTGCATGTATGCCTGCCGGCCAGAAGGGGACACCAGATCTCAGATCTCATTACAGATGGTTGTGAGCCACCACGTGGTTGCTGGGAATTGAACATTGAACTCAGGACCTTTGGAAGAGCGCCAATGCTTTTTTTTTTTTTTTTTTTTTTTTTTTTGGCTTTTCGAGACAGGGTTTCTCTCTGTGTAGCTTTGCACCTTTCCTGGATCTCTCTCTGTAGCCCAGGCTGGCCTCGAACTCACAGAGATCCACCTGCCTCTACCTCCCGAGTACAGGGATTAAAGGTGTGCACCACCACCGCCCGGCACAGCCAGGGCTCTTAACCACTGAGCCATCTCTCCAGCCTGGTGTCTCTTATAAAAACCCTAAGACATCCTCTGGCTGCCTCCAGGATGGGAACTCTGAAACATCTGCTTTTCCCCAGCCTGTGGTGGTCACAGTCAGGACCCACATGGGATGAATGGGTATGTTCCACTCAGCAGTAAGGAAGGTAGACAAAGCCAGACAGGATGCTTTCCTGACATGAGAGACCACTGTCTACCCGCTCTCAGGCCCCTTCCCTTCTTTCTTTCTCTCAATTTCTTCTAGACAGAGTCTTATTATGTAGCCTTGGCTGCCCTGGGACTCCCTATGTAGACCAGGCTAGCCTCAAACAGAGATCCACCAGCCTCTGTCTCCCAAGTGCTGGGATTAAAGGTATACGCCACCACCTCTGGGCTCTTTCTTGTTATAAGTCTGTTTCTTTCTTTTTAGTTTTTCAAGACAAGGTTTCTCTGTGTAGCCTTGCCTGTCCTTAAACTCACTCAGTAGATCAGGCTAGCCTCAAATTTACAGAGATCCACCTGCCCCTGCTTCCTGAGTGCCTGATCTATTGATCTATTGATCCAGTTCCAGGGCAGCCAAAGCTGTTACACAGAGAAACCCTGTCTTAAAAAAAAAAAAAAAAAGGCTGGGCGCTGGTGGCGCACGCCTTTAATCCCAGCACTTGGGAGGCCGAGGCAGGCGGATCTCTGTGAGTTCGAGGCCAGCCTGGGCTACAGAGTGAGTTCCGGGAAAGGCGCAAAGCTACACAGAGAAACCCTGTCTCAAAAACATTTAAAAAAAAAAAAAAAAAAAAAAAGCCATCTCTCCATACCTACCATCTCTTTTTAAAGTTGGTTTGGTTTTTTTGTTTTTGGAACTAGGGTCTCATGTAAACTCAGGGAACATTCTATGTAACTGAGGATGACTTGGGAACTTCTGACCCTCCTGCCTCTACCTCCTAAATGCTGGGATGATAGGAGCGTCTGCTACCATACCCAGTTTATGCAGTGCCATGGACTGAACCCAGGGCTTCTTCACACACGCTCAGCAATGAGTCTGCCCATTGAGCCACACCCAGTCTCTATTACATTTATGTGTGTGTGTGTGTGTGTGTGTGTGAGCACCTGTGTGCACATCCCATGGTGGAGGGGAAGAGGGTCACTTGCAGTGGTTGGGTCTCTTCTTTCACTATGCGGGTGCCAGGAATCAAACTCTGGTCATCATTAATCATCGTTCATAATTAAACACCTCATTGGCCACCAACACTTTTTGTTTTTCGAGACAGGGTTTCTCTGTGTAGCTTTGCGCCTGTCCTGGATCTCACTCTGTAGCCCAGCCTGGCCTCGAACTCACAGAGATCCGCCTGCCTCTGCCTCCTGAGTGCTGGGATTAAAGGTGTGCGCCACTACCGCCCGGCGGCAGCCAACACTTTTACCCCGTAAGCCAGCTCACCGGCGAGCGCTCACACACCTTCTCTGTCTCTCAACCAAATCCATAGTCTGCAGTTCCTGCTGCCATGAAACTCGTAGCAATCCTCCTGCTTCAGCTTCCCAAGGGATGAGATGACAGGTGTGCCATCCTACCCCGTGTCTGTTTTCTGTGACACCGTGTCCCCAGTGTTTGGCATATAGCAGATGCTCAAGGAAATAGATGAGAGCTGGTAAGAGGACTCAGCACGCACAGGTGGTTGCCACCAAACCTGGCAGACTGAGTTTGATTCCCAGGACCCACACAGTCGAATAAAACAACCGATTCCTGCAAGTCTGATTACCACGTTCGTGCTGGGGTATATGCGCACCCACACACATACCCATATACACAGTAAATAAATAATTAAAAGGAAAAAAAAGTAGAGAAAAGAAATACCTAAAATATAGATCAACCTCTCTGCCAAACAGGCAGGGAGCTGCCCGGTTCTCCCTCCACCTGACCCCTGCCTGTAACTCACCGTATTTCTTGTTAAACAGATCTTGGACTTGTTCCCTAAGCGTGTTAGCGATGTCGATCCGCGAGAGCCTGGTGTCGTAATTTTCTGCAGAGTGAGTACAATTACGGACAGAGGTGGTTACATTAAAAGGCACTCGGTGACTTTTACAGGAAAAATGATTTCCTAATTACAGTGAACTCCTTCTCTGGCAATTAGCAGATTTTTGGAGTGGGCCCCTCAGAGTCCTTCAAAACCAGTCTTCATGAGACGTGTGTGTGTGTGTGTGTGTGTGTGTGTGTGTGTGTGTGTGTGTGTGTTTCCTGGAAGGACTCACACTGTTGAGACAACAGCCATGAGATGAAATTAAGTTAATAATTGTTGACATTTGAAAACCAACACACTAATAAATAAGCCTGGAAGTGAGGCACCAGGGAGAGGGGGTTTCTGTGTCCTCAGCTGGGTGGGAGTTGGAGCAAAGGCTTCAGAGAGCTCATAGGGAAACAGGGGACGAGAATGGGAGTGTCCACCTGGGGCTCTTTATTATGTGGTAGCACAGGGGATGGAGCCTAGAGTCTTACAGATGGTACAGAAATACTCTACCACTGAGCCCACCCCAGCCCCTCACTGGGGGATTCTAGGCAGGTGCTCTACTACTGAGCCATGCTGCCAGCTCTTCACAGGGTTGGGAGTACTCTAGGTAAGGGCTACCATTCTGAAATAGTGTTGACTAAGGAACCTCATGTACTAGCATAGCAGGACTGTACTTTTGACCTCAGGGAGGTTACATCCTGGCCTGGCCTTAGGAGAGAAAGGGTATGGACGGCAGGGGAAGGAGGAAATGACCTCTGGTGCTTTATATGTACTCCTGGTGACATTCTCAGCCCACTAAGGGCTTAGATATAGGGATGCACATAGGGTGAGGTAAGATACACAAACTCCCCTCACTGTTCCAGTGAGGCGCTGAGGTGACCAGCAGCCGGTCCTCTGTAAGGTCTCCTAACTCCAGCGTTGGCCGCTGCTGCCTTTCTGAACTCCTCAGTAGTAGGGTGACCATGAAGAGGCCCCTGGTGACAGCCACCCTGGGACTCACGCCAGCCACGCCCATTCGTTTTCTAAGCCGCGCACACATCGGATGTGGTAGGTTTTCAGATGCATCCCTATCGATAGCAGGGATGTTGGCTGGCCTCACATGAAAGGGTGCCAGAAGTCTCCCCTTGTCCAGCTGCAAGCCATCCTTTAACATTTTCCTGTATCCCACTGCTTGCCTTCCTGCCTGCTTTTCTGGCTCTCCATGGCCACCGTCCAGTCCTTCAATTTCAAAGTACTAAGAGCTGAATTGATGAATGACTACAGAAAGGTAGATGGCGACCGCCTAGATAGAGAATTCTGCCAGCTCTGAAGTCCTGTACCTGGGTGTCCCCCTCCTGACAGCCAGACTCTAACTCAGACATACCAGGCTAGTTGGGCACCCTAGCGCCCATGGGTGGGGTCCAGACTCTCCCCGACTCCCACTGCCACCCCTGGTCTAAAGCCACTCAAGGTCACGACCCCAGAATGCCTAAATTTATATGGGTCTAAACTTACCTTGAAGGCCCTGCCTCTTCGGGGTCTCGTCCACAAGACGGTCCCAGGAGTCCCTCTCTGGGGGTGGGGTGGGGAGAGAAGGCAGGTGAGGAGGGAGCACCTGGGGTCTCAGGTGGCATCGAGGGGGCAAACCCAACAGGGGCAGTGGGGAAATGCCTAGGGTAGGGGATAGGACAGGGGCATCAGGACGGGGCATGGCAGAGAGTTGGTGCCCCCCTCCCCCAACACCCACCTGGGTCTCGCCCACGCCCAGGTACCTTGAGTATCCATAACAGGCTCTTTGACACCATCGGTGAGCAGTTCGGGTCTAGAAAACACAACCAGTGCCATCAGTGAGGTTTGCCCAAGCGTCCTAGGGCTGTTCAGCCTCTGAGCTTCAGTCTACAGATCTGTGCAATGGGCTTGCCTAGACGTCTTGGCCAACACAGAATTAAGGTCCTTGCCACACTGGGGCAGCCATCCTGGTTGGTTGATGGGAGCTGTCAACAGCTCTGAGCTCTGAGGTTCCTCCCAAGTCCTGGGCTGGCTGATGCGCTCTGCTCTGAACATCATCCAATCCGTACTGCCTAGCATTGAAACGCACAGCTGGGGAAATGATGTGCGTGTTTGTATACGCACATGTGTACAGGTGCAATGTCGAGGCCAGCGGCCAACAACTGGTACCTTCCTTAACTGCTCTCCTTTTCCTTTTCTTTCTTTCTTTTTTTTTTTTTTTTTGGTAAGGCTTTATTTTGTAATTATGTGTACATGTGTGATGGTGTGACTGTGTGTGTATAACACCACTGAGGATGGAGTTAACAGATGGCTGTGAGCTGCCCAACCAGGATACTAGGAACCAAACTCTGGTCCTTGCAAGAACAGCAAGCATGCCGGGCAGTGGTCGCACACCTTTAATCCCAGCCCTCGGGAGGCAGAGGCAGGCGGATCTCTCTGAGTTCGAGGCCAGCCTGGTCTATAGAGTGAGATCCAGGACAGGCACCAAAACTACACAGAGAAACCCTGTCTCGAAAAACAAAACAAAACAAAAAAACAAAAACAAAAAAACAAAACCAGCAAGCATTCTCACCTGTTTCCAGACAGGGTCTCTCCCTGAACCTGTAGCCCACACCCAGGATCCTCCTATCTCTGCACACTCAGCACTGGGGTTACAGGTTTGCAACATCATGTCTTTTTTTTTTTTTTTTTTTGATAATATTTGGGTCCTGGGGAATCAAACTCAGGTCAGGTCCTCAAGCTTGCATAGTAAGCACTCTACTGAGCCACCTCTAAAGCGTCTCTCTTGTTTTGTTTTTTTGTTGAGATGAAATACTGTGGTATAGTCTAAACTCTACATCCGTGGTTCTCAACCTGTGGGTCGAGACTCCTTGAGGGAGGGTGCATGGGTGTGTGGGTGTGTGTAGAACGACCCTTTCACAAGGGTCACCCAAAACCATTGGAAAACACAGGTATTTACATTACAGTTCCTAACAGTAGCAACATTAGAGTTGTGAGGGAGTCATGAACATAATGTTATGCTTGGGGATCAGCACACCGTGAGGAACTGTACTACAGGGTCGCAGTGTTAGGGAGGGTGAGAACCGCTGAGCTACATCTTCTTGCCTCGGCCTCCCACGTGCTGCTATATAGTTATGAACCATCACACCCAGTTCTAATTTAGTTTAGAATCAGCAGGGCATGGAGGCTTGCATCTGTAACCCCAGAGCACTTGGGAGGCTGAGGCAGGAAGATCACTTGGGTCAGCCTGGGCTATGCAGTAAGTTCTATAGTAGCCTGAGCTAGAAAGTAAGATCCCGTCTTAAAAACGAAACCAAAGAAACTCCACAAACAGCAACAACAACAAAATCAAAACCCAAATACACTAAAATAAAAAAAAAAAAAACAAAGTAAATAAAAAAAGTACAGGACAGCTGGGCAGTGATGGCGCATGCCTTTAATCCCAGAGCTCTGGAGGTAGAGGCAGGTGGATTTCTGAGTTTGAGGCCAGCCTGGTCTACAAAGAGAGTTCCAGGAGAGTCAGGGCTGTCCAAAAACAAAAACAACAAAAACAAAAAAAACAAAACAAAAAAAGATTTTGCAATCTGAACGACGGGAAGGTGCCAGTTGTCTGGCACTGGGCCAGTCTGATGGTGTCCTTCATGCGTCTAGCCAGTCCTTACTTCTCTCTATATATATATTTTCAACTTAATTTCATCTCTCTGCTCCCACCCTCAAGCCTACCCTCTTTTCTTTCTTGAGACAGAAACTCACTAAGTAGCCTTGGTCAGCCTGGAAACCTGCCGCCACACCCGGCTCAGACCTTACCTCTTGATGACAAACTGGATGTTGTTGCTAGCTTCCAGAATCTTCCGAAGCTTGGCGATCCCAAAGCAGTTGGGTCTGCGAAGAGAGATGCCTTCGGGCAGTCCCAGGACGAACAGCTCCTCAGGGTGCATCAGGAACTTGGAGTAGGGCACCTTGACTGGTTCCGAGGTACCAATGGCTTTGGCTGCGAAGACATGGCTGCTGTAAGGCCACCGGGAGCCCCAAACCGTCCCCACCTCTCCGCGGGAGCTGCAGGGATGTCAGGGCTTTGGAGGTGGCACTCAGTTGAACCCCATGAACTTGCAAGATGAGAGAAAAGCACCCTAGCCTGTAGGTAGGATAGAGTCCTCAGAGGATGTAGCTTGGCGGAAGGCATACAGCCTGGGAATGTGACCCCCAGAGGCCACTCTTCACTCATGTAGCAGAGGAACCACAGAGTGTTGCTGGGATACGACCATGGGTCCCTCATCCCCACCCAACCCCGCTACCATCAAAAAACCCCAAACCTTCACACAGCCAATGGGCATGCCACATTTAGGGTTAGCCTGATCCGAGGCTCTCTGCCCCTGAGTAGACTGGTGCCCTGAGCTAGCCTCATCACCACAGCAGGCTTCCTATTATCCCATTTGTAAAACGGGTCTTAGGATATAACAAGGATTGTGAGGCAGGGATGAGAGAGTGTGTGAGGAGCCAGCACGTGGCAAACTCCAGGAGCTAGGGAGAGATCAGGGTTCGCGAATCGCTTCCTCTTTTCTGGACTCTGTTATTTTATTGTAGGGCTGTGGATGGAACCCAGGGCATTATACATGCTAAACAAGCTAAGCCACACACCTACCCCCTCATTGGGGGACTCTAGGCAGGTGCTCTACTACTCAGCCCCTCACTGGGGGACTCTAGGCAGGTGCTCTACTACTGAGCCACACCCCAGCCCCTCACTGGGGGATTCTAGGCAGGTGCTCTACCATTGAGTCACACCCCAGCCCCTCACTGGGGGATTCTAGGCAGGGGCTCTACCACTGAGCCACACCCCAGCCCCTCACTGGGGGATTCTAGGCAGGGGCTCTACCACTGAGTCACACCCCAGCCCCTCACTGGGGGATTCTAGGCAGGGGCTCTACCACTGAGCCACACCCCTGGCCCCTCATTGGTAGATTCTAAGAAAATCCTGTAGCATTGAGTCATACCCCCCACTTTTCTGGATTCCAGAGAAAGCCAGTTCTTGTTCTGAGTTCCCAGGGAGGCCTGTAGCTGTCAATAAGGCCCATGGCTGAGGCTGACTGAAAGCATGTGAACCAGGGAATGATATGGAGGAAGAGTATGTGGACCAACAGGCCAGCAGGGTGGGACTCTGCCATGCGTGAGCGATATGGACCAATCCCTCGAGTGTTCCCATCCTGAAGATGAGTCCCAGCTCTGTCTTTGTCTCTGCCCTGAAGGCCCATCCCTTTCCCCACTCACCATATTTCGTGTTGAACAGCATCTCCACCTGCTTCCGCAAGGGCCGGATCACATCACCAGGGCTTTCTGGGAGACAAAGGCAGTGTGCTGAGTTTCCTGGATGCAGAAACATCCTTGCTGTGGGATGTTCTGTATGGCAAATGTGTTGCTGATTAGTCAATAAATAAAACACTGATTGGCCATTGGCTAGGCAGGAAGTGTAGGCGGGACAAGGAGGAGAATAAAGCTGGGAAGTGGAAGGCTGAGTGAGAGAGACACTGCCAGCCGCCATGATGAGAAACAGCATGTGAAGATGCCGGTAAGCCACGAGCCATGTGGCAAGGTATAGATTAATGGAAATGATTAATTTAAGCTGTAAGAACAGTTAGCAAGAAGCCTGCCACGGCCATACAGTTTGTAACCAATATAAGTCTCTGTGTGTTTACTTGGTCGGGTCTGAGTGTCTGTGGGACTGGCAGGTGAGGGACTGGCAGGTGAGAGAGATTTGTCCTGACTGTGGGCCAGGCTTTTTTTTACTCTAGGGGCAGACACATTGTTTTACTCTAGGGGCAGACACATTGTTGATAAGATTACACTCTTACCTTGGCCTCCCCACTCACCCTGCCTTGTTCTCAGCAGAGAGAGAAAAACCAGTTTTTCCTCTTTTAACATCTTTTATGCAGAAAGCCAGTTTTATATATTCAAGCCATATAATCTAGCTCAGGAAGATGAGGGGCACAATTCACTTCAGAATCCTTCACAGAAAGCAACTGTGTGTAAACCGAAGCTTAACCTTTATTCTGACAGACGCCTGCCAGTTCTAGCATAGTCTAGAACTTTCTCCCACTTGGTATGGCTCACACAGGACTCCCAGCCCAAATGCAGGGTGTTGGAGAGATGATGGAGTGGAGGGGAATTGCTCACAGGCGTGGAGTGGACATAGAGAGGGAATTATGGCAGGGTCTCACCTTCTGCCGGCCTCTCTTCTGGCCATGGCTCCTCACTGGGGCCTTTGTCTAAGAGAAAACAAAGGATGATAAGAAACCATGTTAGTGCTGGGTGGTGGGGGCACATCCCTTTAATCCCAGCACTCAGGAGGCAGAGGCAGGCAGAACTCTGTGAGTTCAAGGCCAGCCTGAGCAACACAGCGAGACTATATCTCAAAAAAAAAAAACCCCAAAAAACCCCAAGGGCCCGGACACAGCTCAGCAGCAGTGCACTTTCCTGGAACGCACTGGGCCCTAGGTTACATTCCCAGCACCAAAAAAATACATTAAATACATTTACAAAATGTCCATAATACAAATACATACACATACACACAGGGCTGGGGATGGAGCTCAGCTGGAGAGTGCTTCCCGGGGACGTGCACGGTCTTGGGTTTGATATGGAGCACACCTTTAGGTTATCTGTACAAGACACAAGTGAGACAGAAAGAATTTTCCTGGGGCTGGGGAGATGGATGGCTCAGTGGTGAAGAGCAATTATTGCTCCTACAGACGACCTGAGCTCAGTTCCCAGCACCCCTGTCAGGCGGCTCACAACTGTCCGTAACTCCAGCTCCAGAGGATCCCAGGCCCTCATCTGACCTCTGAAAAAGAAAAGCACTTTATGGAAACTCACAGAGATCCATCTGCCTCTGTCTCCTTAGCGCTGGGATTAAAGGTGTGCGCCACCACAGTCCGGTTATTGTGTGTGTGTGTGTGTGTGTGTGTGTGTGTGTGTGTGTGTGTGTGTGCGTGTGTGTGTGTGTAGGTATATGCATGCCACAGTAGACACATGGAGGTCACAGAACAACTTGCAGGTATCCATTCTCTCATTACATCCTGTGAGTCCCAGGGATCCAACTCACGTCATCAGGCTTCCATAGGAAGTGCTTTTACCTGCTGAACCATCTCCAGCCCCTCTTTTTGGTCTCAGGTAGATTAGGGTGGCCTAGAACTTGCTCTGCAGCCAAGGATGACCTTGAACTTCTGATCCTCCTGCCTCTATTTCCCCAAGTGCTGATTTCTTTTGTTTTTTTTTGTTTGTTTGTTTGTTTTGTTTTTTCGAGACAGGGTTTCTCTGTGTAGCTTTGCGCCTGTCCTGGAACTCACTTGGTAGCCCAGGCTGGCCTCGAACTCACAGAGATCCGCCTGGCTCTGCCTCCCGAGTGCTGGGATTAAAGGCGTGCGCCACCACCGCCTGGCTATTTCCCCAAGTGCTGTGATTAATGCCCCACTACATCTGGCTTGTTTGGGGACTTCTTTTCTTTTCTTCTTTTTTTTTTGGAGGGGGCGGGTTTTTTTTTTTTTTCCCCCGAGACAGGGTTTCTCTGTGTAGTTTTGGTGCCTGTCTTGGAACTCACTCTGTAGACCAGGCTGGCCTAGAACTCACAGAGATCCGCCTGGCTCTGTCTCCCGAGCGCTGGGATTAAGGGCGTGCGCCACCACCGCCCTGGCTTGGGGAGTTACTTTTACTTGTCCATTTTTTTCATTCCCTGCAGGGGCGAGGCACGGAACCCAGGACCTCAAATGCGCTACACCAGCAATCTGCTGCAGGCTTCAACCCCAACGAAGGAACTGACACGTAGACCGAGGTCCCATCGCTGAAAGCATCTTATCAAGTGCAAATATCTCAAAATCCAAAACACATCCCAAGTTGCACCCACATCCGGCATGCCTCTCGTGTGCTGAGTCTTCTCCAACTAAGGCACCCAACTCCAAGAAAAACTGAGGGGTCTCCCGGCCCACCGGTCCTCCCTGTAGCTCCCCAGGGTGGTAGGTCCCCAGTATGGCCAGCCCCAGCCCACCTCTTACCAGCCGGCATTTCCATCCCATAACCGGAATCCTCCGAGGGCAGATGCCCAGGAAGTGAGTCGGTCATCTCCTCCTCCGAAGTTGGTGAAGGGTCTAAAAGGAAATTCCAAATGATGAGAGCATCTTTTACATGTCCTGCCCATTGTGGTCCCTCAGAGGTCCCAATGGACCAAGCGGGTCGACAGACCGAGATGTTAAAGAAATCCATGCAGCCAGATGATGTGGTATGATGACCTCAGTTCTTGGGAAGGTGAGAAACATCAGGACTGAGAGCTTAAGGCCTCCCTGGACTACTGAGTGGGTTCAGGGCTGGCCCAGTCAACCCAGTGAGCTCTTGTCTCAAAATAAAAAGGGAAAAGGGGGCTGTGGCTTAGGGGTAGAGCACCTGCCTAGAATCCCCCAGTGAGGGGCTGGGGGTGTGACTCAGTGGTAGAGCACCTGCCTAGAATCCCCAGTAAGGGGCTGGGGTGTGGCTCAGTGGTAGAGCACCTGCCTAGAATCCCCCAGTGAGGGCTGGGGTGTGGCTCAGTGGTAGAGCACCTGCCTAGAATCCCCCAGTGAGGGGCTGGGGTGTGGCTCAGTGGTAGAGCACCTGCCTAGAATCCCCCAGTGAGGGCTGGGGTGTGGCTCAGTGGCAGAACACTTGCTCAGCACATGAAAGACCCCAGGCTCTATTTCAAACACTAGGGGAAAAAAAAAAAAAATCAACCCAGATACATCCATCAGGATGGCCTGATGGAGTAGGTCCCGGGCAGCAGAGCAGCCCAGCTTCTGTCAACATGTCCGTTCAGGAACAGGAGCACCTTCGATGTACACGTCTCTTACCTGGGACAGTAACCTGAATGATGTCCAGCTCCTCTGGCTCAATTTTGATGGGCCTCAACATTCCTAACTCTCCTGAGGTTCCTGCAAAGAGAAGAAGACGGATCCTGTCAGGCATGCCCATATAAAGGCAAGTCTTTCCAGAACATTCTCAGGTCTGTGCATTGACAATGAACAACTAGGAAAAGCCATTTTGGACCCTTGGCTCCTGCCCAGATCAGAAAGGACCAGACGGCCCTTGGACAAACTCAGGCCAAACCTGGCACAGAGCGGACAGACCCACGGGGTGTAAAGATGGGCTTGCCCGTCTACAGACACCAAGGAAGGCAGTGCTGATGCCAGGCCTTGGTTTCTACTCTCTGCCCCTCTCCAGAGAGTTCCCAGCATGCTCTGCTGCTGGCCGGGTGAGGCTTTGAGGATGGCCATGGGAAGAGGACTAGCCAGAGTACTGAGGATTCACAGCCTGGGCAGGTCTCCTCCTGGCTGTCAGCAGGGAACTGGTAACCACCCCCCTGGTTCTATGGCCCCAGAATATTATACACAAGGGAGCTGTGCGGCTTCTCACCTGGCCCACAGTCTTCAGAGACGCTGCTCTTGTCTGACCTGAGAAAGGAAGACGGGGAAATGACCCGGTGCTGACCTTGTCCTGAGTCACTCTGCCCACACTTCAGAACCACCCCCCAAATCTGAGCGTGGCAGAGCCCGTCTATGACCTCCGTGCTTGAGAGAAACACACAGGAGCATTGCTGGGAGCTCCCGACTCTGTAAAAGTCTGTCTGAGAAAAAAACCACGCTAAGGGGCTGGAGCTCTGGCTCAGTATTAAGAGTGCTTACTGTTCTTACAGAGAAACCAAGTGCAGTTCCCAACATCCACATGGGCGGAGGGGGAGGCTCACAACCATCTGTAACTCTAGTTCTAGTGCACCCAATGCCCTCTTTTGGCATGCGTAGGCATCTGTACACACATGGTGCATATAGATACACTCAGGCACACACACATATATACCTGAAATAAAAATAATCTTAAACCAGGCGTGATGGCGCACGCTATTAATTCCAGCACTCGGGAGGCAGAGGCAGGCGGATCTCTGTGATCCAGAGCCTGGTCTACACAGTGAGTTCTAGGATAGCCGGAGAGATAGAGTGAGACCCTGTCTCAAAAACAAAACAAAACCACAAAGCAAGCAAACAAAACCCCACCGTGCATCCTATGCTTTCGCAGAACGGGACTAACTACTCTACATTAGTGTCAGGTACCAGCTTCCCAGGGCCCTGGTTCCCGTGGTCATGCTCACTCTCATTTCCATCTTCCTGGCCAGCAAGTGTTCCACAGCTCACGGCCTGACCCGGCCAATTTAGGAGTCTCCAGGCTCAGCAAAGGAACCAAATGGTGTTTGGTGGGGGAGTTGGGTCTGTAGGATTTTTGTGAGCAAGACCTGGGCCACGGGGATGCTACAATAAATGACTGCTCTCATTTTTTTTTTTTTTTTATTTTTAAACAAGCATGGAGATGGAATCCAGGGTTTTGTGCGCACTGGGTAGGTGCTTTACCAGTGAGCCAAGCCTACATCCCCTCACTGGGGGATTCTGGGTAGTGCTCTACTGCTGAACCACACCTGGAGCCCAAATGGCCAGTTCTTGTCCCCCTCAGTTCACAGCCTGGGTTTGGCTGGGGTGAGGGCCAGTGACTAGGATGTCAGTTGCACAGAGGTAAACAGTGTGGGCCACCAAGGAAGGTCTCTGAGATAACAGACACCTGAACTATCTGGTCCTTGTTCTCTTGCTCCTCTTTGTCTCTCACTGGCCTGTCTCTCACAGTCGGGGTGCTTGTGTGGAAACCACGTGTCCAAGTGGGGCTGAAGGGAACCAGCAAGGCCCTTCCTAGACCGTGCAGGACACAGGCCTCACCCGGAGCAGAGGAGGGACCTCTTACCAAGCAGTCCCAGCCAGGTCCAGCATAGCGTCCCTACAGACCTCTGTGGAAGTATCTTCTGGTGGGCTGGCTGGCTCCAGCTTCACGGGGTCTTTGGTAAACTTGTTCCCTGCGGGAAGAGTTGGGCTTAAGATGGCGGCTCTTCAGCCAGATGTGGTGGTGCAGACCTGCCACCCCCAACATTCAGGAGCCCAAGGTCGGAGGACTACAACCCTAACATCTCGTGAACTCCCAAAGATAGGGCCTTTCCTGTTGGACAGAGACACCCGGGCACTGGCTTCTATAGGATATTCCTAGAAGCACTCCTGGGAGGGTGGGGTCTGCATCTGACCGCTTCTCTGGGGGCTGTGTCTGAAACAGCCAGGAATTCATCTGTCTACATCCTACCCTCATTCTAGAAACCTTCTACCAGGATGTAATAATGTAAGAACCTCAGGAGAAAGGTCATAGCCCCCAATCCCACCCTTTGTCCCACAGGGCCATTTTCTCCTTTAATAAAACCAGAAACTAGAAGGCAGCTAGCTCCTCTTTTCCTTTTTCTTTCCTTTTTAGGTTTTTGAGACAGGGTTTCTCTGTATGGCTCTGACTTTCCTGGAACTCTCTGTGTAGACCAGGTTGTCCTCGAACTCACAGAGACCCACCTGCCTCTGCCTCGGGGTGCCAGGATTAAAGGTGTGCGCTACCACCACCCGGTCAGCTAGCTCCCCTTTATCATCTCCGTGTCAGAGATGGGGAAACGGGGCCACAGACAGAGCCCAATGTTTCCAGGCTGCCGGGTTAGCAGAGCTGTTAATGGGACTAAGGTCCATCAATTCCCGCAAGGATCTGTGTAGCTCTTGATGGCTGAAGCTTTGGGGCCACAGCATCACAGGGAAATGCCAAGGCCTCACTTCCCTAGTGTTTTAGATGCTTTATCTATATATGGATGTGGGATCAGACCCTTGTCTGCAGAATGGCTGAAAATTACAGTAAGGGTGGTGGCATATGACTGCAATCTCAGGACTCAAGAGACAGAGGCAGAAAGATCTTGAATTAAGGCTAGCCTGGGCTACAGAATTTGAGGCCAGGCTGGGCTGTATGGTGAGACACTGAAAAAGAGATTGATAATGGGGGGAATTAAATCAAAGAAGATAAAATGAATAAAACAAGGTACCTCAGGGGTGGGGAAGACTCATCTACAGGCTTGCCACGCAGGCATGAAAACCTGAATCTGGAGACCCAGCACCCACAGAAAAAGCCAGATGCAGGACCGTATACCCATAAACCAGATTAGGGAGGCAATGATGTGATCAATGAGCAGGCTGTCTCCAAAACGAAGGTAGAGAGTGATCGTGGTCTCCACATGGACACACACACACACACACACACACACACACGCACACACACACACACACACACCAACAAAAACAAAAATCAAGGTAGTTCCGAAGGGAACTTGGCTAATATGTTTAGCAAACGGTATTACTATTTCCTCCAAGGAGACTCTCAACTCTACAGGGTTCCAGTCTGCCAGCCAATGGGAGCCCAAAGACCACACATAAAGCCCACGATGCAGAAGGGGGTTCAAGATTACAGGGTCAGTTCAAGGAGACACCAACTCCAAAATAGACCCGATGGTACCCACTTACCTGTGAAAATGCGTTCATCAAACATCCTGGGGAGAGAGGAAAGAGAGCGTGAGAATGGTAGAGGCTGGTCCCTTCAGAGATGGCCACAGATCCCACCAGTGTGGTTCTTAGAGCCACGGACTAGGGCACGGGGTTGGCCACACACGTGGGCAAGAGTTGGGGAGTGATGGTTCATCTCGCCAACCTGACGGGACTCAGAATCACCACGGAAACAAATCTCTGGGCATGTCTACAAGGGAGTTTTTAGATTGGGTGAATGGAAGAGGAAAGCTCCCCCTCCCCAAATATGGGTGGTGCCACCCTGTGGGCTGGGGTCCTGGATTGAATCAAATGAAGACAGACAGGCAGACGGGGGTCGGCATTCACCTCTTCGCTTCCTGACGCTGGATGCACTGTGACCAGCCACCTCACGCTCCTGCTGCCAACCTTCTCACCATGACAGACCGTGTTCCCTCAAACTGTGAGCCACACTAACCCTTTCCTCAAGCTGCTTTGGTTGGAAATTTTGTCATAGCAACAAGAAAAAGTAACGAATACAGTGGGAACCTGAACAACTCAAGCTGTGGTCCCGCTGTCATTTTGGCCATGAAAGACCTGTCTGGGTTTTTTTTTTTTTTTTTTAGACAGGGTCTCGTGCAGCCCAGGCTGACCTCAAACTCCCTATTTAGCCAAGGAGGACCCTGAACTCCTGACCCTTTGGCCTTCACCTCTTATGTGCTTGAATTACAGGCCTCTAACACCATGCCCAGTTTTGCAGAGCCGCGTATGGAAGCCGGGGCTTCGTGAATGCCAGGCAGGCACTCTACCCACTGAACCACACTCCCACCCCTAGACCTGCTCATTAAGGCCTGTTATACCTGTGTCTCACTAAGTGCCAGGCTCAGCCAAAAGCAACTCGGAGCCAACGACAGATCACAGCCAAGGAAGGTGTGACCTGAGGGCTCCTTCAGGGGTGTTCTCAGAAAGCAGGGGCCCCAAGCCAGGGCAGAAACTACGGTGTCATGATGGCTGGAAGCACGGTCCTTGTAGTAACATGCTCATACACAAGAGCTTCGACCTCGTGGGACCTACAGGGCCCTGGAACCTTGTGACAGGGTCAGATCACTAATGGACCAATTAGAGGAGAAGAAGCTGGGGCCCAGGGATGGTCCAAGAACCAAGTCATACAGATACAGCAATTGACATCCAGGCCAAGAATGGAGGCACTCACTTCAGCTATAATCCCAACATTTGGGAGGGTGAGGCAGGAGGATCTTGAGGTTGAGGCCATGGGCTACGTATTATAGCCTTGTCTCAAAAAGATTAACAACAACAGTGATACAAACTAGAGTCACCTGAGGAGCCGCCCCATCAGACTGGCCTGTGGACCACATCTGTGAGGAACCGTGTACATTGATACAGGAGGGCCCAGTCCACTCTGGGCAGCTCCATTCCCTAGGCAGGTGGTCCTGGGCTGTGTAAGAAAGCTAGCAGAGCATGAGCAGAGGGTGAGCCAGAGACTGAGTCAGTGAACTGCGTTCCTTCCTGGTTTCTGCTCCAGTACCTTCCCTGGCCTTCAGTGATGGAATGTGACCCGGAATCGGAAATAAATCCTTTTTCCTCCCCAAAGCTGCTTTCGGTCACTGTGTTTACCACAGCAGCAGGATGAAACCAGGACAGGAGGCTAGGCATGTAACTGGGGGGTGACTATGATTAGAATGCCTGTGTGGAAAGGTCATGAAACCTATTATTTTGGACGATTCGACTAAATTAACTTGCTCACAGTACATAAGACCCTGGCTTAAAAAAACATAAACAGCAATCAAACAAACAAACAAAAAACTAGCCAAGTGTAGTGGTGCACACTTTTAATCTCAGTACTTGGGAGGCAGAGACAGGCAGATCTCTGTGAGTTTGAGGCCAGCCTGGTCTATAGAGTGAGTTCCAGAACAGCCAGAGACCTTGTCTTGAAAAAACAAAAACAAAAACAAAACTAATTATTAAAAAAAAAAAGCCACCAGGCGGTGGTGGCGCACGCCTTTAATCCCAGCACTCAGGAGGCAGAGACAGGCGGATCTCTGTGAGTTCGAGGCCAGCCTGGGCTACCAAGTGAGTTCCAGGAAAGGCGCAAAGCTACACAGAGAAACCCTGTCTCGAAAAACAAAAAACAAAACAAAACAAAACAAACAAAAAAAGCCAGTAAGGGTAGACTGAGTTGGGTGTCTAGGTTAAGGCTCAGGGTATGAACTCTGAACGTGACTTCCTGTTCTCTTCTTAGAGACTGGGGCTTCTCGGCTGTTCCCGGAGCTCTGGGAGCTCACACACATCTGGGTACCACAAGGCCTGAGGCAGCCACGGAGGGCAAAGCCAGTGGAACTGGCTTCCTGTCTGGGGGGCCCAGCTTCCCTTCCCCGTCCCACCCACTGACCCCGCAGCTGAAGAATGAACCAGGGGCCCATTTCTTGTGAAATACTGTGTTGGGGGAGGTAGAGTCAGACTAAAGGGGTTTCACATTATTTTTGGAGATGTGGAGGCCGAGGAAAAAGGCCAGACGTCCTCATAGGAAGCCTTGGCTGGAAGGCACACTTGACGGACTAGGGTCCCAAAGTTCTAGAATCATCTGCTCCTCTTTTTGCTTTTGTGGCTTTGAGGACAGAAAACTCCAGTGCCTCATGCATTAGGCAGGTGCTCTACCACTGAGCCACACCCCAGCCCCTCACTGGGGGATTCTAGGCAGGTGCTCTACCACTGAGCCACACCCCCAGCCCCTCACTGGGGGATTCTAGGCAGGTGCTCTACCACTGAGCCACACCCCCAGCCCCCCACTAGGGGATTCTAGGCCAGTATCTTTTCACAGAACCAGGCCAATTCACACCTCTTGATTATGAAGTGAATGCTGTGCCGCTCCTCCAGAATCCGCTTCAGCTTGGGCACCCCATAAGTACAAGGCCGCTTGAAGGGGATCTTGTCCGGGATGCCCACAATTTCCACAGCCTCAGGGTCACAGGCAATCTTCCTATAGGGAACAGGGACCATGTGGTCCAGGCCCAGGGCTTCCGCTGGAAGAAGGGTAAGAACAAGGATGAGTGCAAGAGACAAGTCATGGGACACCATGGTTCAGACCCCGGGTCACACAGTCCCTTCCCAGCTAACACTGCATGGGCTGCGTCGTCACAGAAACAACCGCGTCCACTTTCTCTCTCTCTCTTTTTTTTTTCTTTTACTTTTTGAGACAGCGTCTCACTGTGTAGCCCTGGCTGGCTCAGAACTCACTATGTAGACCAGGCTGGCCTCCAGTTCAGGGGCCCGTCTGCTTCTGCTCCCCAAATGCTGGCATTAAAGTACAGTGCCACCTTGACTAGGGTCTTTTCAAGACAGGGTTGCTCTGTGTAGCCCTGGCCGTCCTGGAACTCATTCTGTAGACCAGGCTGGCCTCGAACTCACAGAGATCCACCTGCCTCTGCCTCCCGAGTGCTGGGATTAATAGAGTGCACCCCCACACACACCTAGCTCAGAGTCCATTTTTTAACATTTAAAAAAAGTTTACTATTTATTTATTGGGAGGCATTGCCTACATGCCACAGCCCGAGTGTGGAGGTCGGAGGACAACTTGCAGAAGTCAATTCTCTTCTGCCCTCAGGTAGGCTCCAGGGATCGAACTCAGGGCATAAGGCTTGGCTGCAAGAGCCTTCCTTGACCCATTGAGCCATGTACCTCCCTGCTGCCCCTGCACCTACTTGTGACAGGGTCCTGTTACAGTCCCTAGACTGGCATCAAATTCACAGCAATCCTGCTGCCTCAGCCTTCCAAGGGTTGGGCTTACAACCAGATGCCAAGCACCAAATATTGCTTATTTTCTTGAGGCAAGCTGGTCCTTGCTCTGGGCTTTCCCTGTTGCCCTCAGGGTTGTGTGTGCCCTTGCAGCTCAGAGCTGGCCTCCAAGCCACTCACTGGCCAAGTCAGGGCGGGGCAGAACGGTCCGGGCTACTTCCAGGGCTGCTCATTGTTTTCTTGTTGACGTCCCGGGTCCGTCTAGTGGCAGCAGCGTTGGCAGCGAGCTCTACACTGTGAAGTCACACTTTGCTCGCTGTCAAATTAAACCCTTGAAGTCTCAGCAGCTGTCAAATCATTTCTTCCCCACCCCCGCCTCCTGTCTGGGGAGCCTCCCTGCCTGCCTGCCGTCGGTGTTTGGGCAATCGCTCTTTGCGAGTTCATGTGAACTCATGACCATGCAGTGTCAGCCTCAAGGGACTTTTTTTTTTTCTCTCTGAGATGGGGGTCTCTTTGAATCATGATCCTGCTGCCTTCATCTCCCAAGAGCTAGGATTACCAGCATACACCACTCTGCCTGGTTTCTATGTCGCTGGGGATGGATGGAACCCAGGGCTTCTTCACACATGGTAGGTAAGCACTGGACCAACTGAGCCACATTCTCAGCCTCCTTTAGTTTTCCCCTTTATAGCAGCCCAGGCAGACCTGAAGCTCTTAAAGCCTTTTGTCTCAGCCTCGAGAATGCTGGGATTACAAGTGTATACCACCAAGCCTGATCTCTCTGTACTTTTTCCCCCAGCTGTGACAAGAGTTTCTCTTCTGGAACTCATTTTGCAGACCAGGCTGGCTTCGAACTCACAGAGATCTGCCTGCCTCTGCCTCCCAAGTGCTGGGATTAAAGGCGTGCGCCACCACGGCCCAGGTACTTTTTCTTTGTGTGTGTGTGTATGTGTGTGTGTGTGTGGTCCCCCTGCACCATCACTGGCCTATCACAAGCATGTATGGTAGCCAGAAAGATAGTATCAGGGGCCAGAGCTGTAGCTGAGCAGATGCCAGTCCTTACCCAGGCTCCATGCTCTTGCACGTAGCCAGAGCTTCTCCCATTTCCACCCCCTACAGCCCAGGGGGTTCACCTGATTATGTCAGGAGACTCCTATGCAGACGGCCATCTAGGCCACCCCAGACCCTGCACAGGAGGTCTAGGCCACCAGCCCCAGACCACCCAGCAAGGGCATCATCTCAGGAAGCCACCTGATTCTCTAGCCTGAGACCTTAGCCTCCTCTAAGCCAGCCTGGCTTCCTCACCAAGCACCGTGGACTCCTGGACACGAATGCCAACCACCGCACACAACCACATTCAAGGTGTCACAACTGGTATGCACTCGCACACAAGGGTCCACAACCGTATGATCTTCACATAAATGCCCATAGCTACGTGCACTTGCACACAAGTACACACTACTGTCCGTATCTGTTGGGGGCACAAAGGTCCTTGGCACCCACAGATCACTAGGGAAACCAGGAATGTTAAACACATAGGACCCTCTTCCCAATGGAGGGGATAAAATAACTTTTCCCTCCCAGAAGGCTGGGAGTGGATTTTGGTAATGACTTGGTGATCTTTTTACTATCTGTGGAGGCAGACCTCACCCACCTGTTTGCTGGAGAGGCAGACCCCACCCAAATTCCCCAGAATGATTATCCGAGACTCTACCCTCCCTAGACCATTACCCATCCTTATAGTAGATGTCACATGTACTTCATGGCCTGCTGACCTCTATGTTATCAGTCAGAGACCACACTACATTCTAGGCCACAGAACTCACCCTCACGGTCACATGTACTTTGTAAAAGAGTTTCTATGTAGTCACACCTTAGGCTTTATTGTGCACCTGGAATTGGACTGATTGTTGCCTGGGAACCTTTTCCCAAATTGTACTGGCTTTTGTTTTTTTGTTTGTTTGTTTGTTTTGAGACAGGGTTTCTCTGTAGCTTTGAGCCTTTCCTGAAACTCACTCTGTAGCCCAGGCTGGCCTCGAACTCACAGAGATCCGCCTGCCTCTGCCTCCCCAGGGCTGGGATTAAAGGTGTGTGCCACCACCGCCCGCCCCGGCTGTACTGGCTTTTAAATATGCTGACAATGAACCACCTGGCCTTAGACCCCACCCCTACCCCCAAGTATGATCCAGATTGACAAAGTCAATCTGCACGGAGTTTTCATTCTTATCTCCTCGCAGGGTTCACTTCCTTGTCTGACACCTGCAGGGACCCCCTCCTGTAGTTATCTGTATGCAAGTAGTCACCGGTGTATGTGTCTGCATGTAAATACCCTTGGGTGTGCATGCAAGCACCCACTGCTGCATGTATCTGCATGCAAGTATCCACTGCTGTATGTCTGCATGCAAGTATCCACTGCTGAATGTATCTGCATGCAAGCACCCACTGCTGCATGTCTGCATGCAAGTATCCACTGCTGTATGTCTGCATGCAAGTATCCACTGCTGTATGTCTGCATGCAAGTATCCACTGCTGTATGTCTGCATGCAAGTATCCACTGCTGTATGTCTGCATGCAAGTATCCACTGCTGTATGTCTGCATGCAAGTATCCACTGCTGTATGTCTGCATGCAAGTATCCACTGCTGTATGTCTGCATGTAAGTATCCACAGCTATGTGTCTGCATGTAAATATCCACTGCTGCATGTCTGCATGCAAGCACCCACTGCTGCATGTATCTGCATGCAAGCACCCACTGCTGCATGTATCTGCATGCAAGCACCCACTGCTGTATGTATCTGCATGTAAGCACCCACTGCTGCATGTCTGCATACATGTGCCCTTCAGGCATTAGCTGCTATGGTGCTTGGACACAAAATCATCCTCCAGGACAGAGGACCTCATGTCTCTCGTGTTATGTCTCAGGCTTTACTGTCCTGGAGACAAACTCCTAAATACTTTACAAAACTCAGTTTTTGGATCATCTCCCTACAGAGTTTACCTCCCCAAAGTGAAAAAGACCCATTAAACAGAGAACATAAAACAGGCCAATAAAGCAGGAGAGCCAGAAGGTGGTGCCTACCTGGGAATTCTAGCACTGAGGAGACAGAGGCAGGGGGACTGCTATGAGTTCAGAGCCAGCCTGGACTACAGAGCAAAACCTTATCTGAAAAAAACAAACAAATCAAGGTGCTGGGATGTGACTCAGTTGGGAGAGTGTGTGCCTAGCACACACAGAGCCCTGAATTCCATCCCCAGCATTGAATAAAATGGCCATGGTGGCGCATACCTGTAAAGGAACACCCACAAGGTAGAGGCAGGAGGCTTAGAAGTTCAAAGCTGCCGGGCGGTGGTGGCACACGCCTTTAATCCCCGCACTCGGGAGGCAGAGCCAGGAGGATCTCTGTGAGTTCGAGGCCAGCCTGGGCTACCAAGTGAGTTCCAGGAAAGGCACAAAGCTACACAGAGAAACCCTGTCTCGAAAAACCAAAAAAAAAAAAAAAAAAAAGAAGTTCAAAGCCATCCTTGGCTACACAGGGAGTTCAAAGGCAGCCTAGGTGAAATGAGACCCTATCTCAAAAAACAAAAAACAAAAAAAAACCCCAAGTAAATAAATATATAAATAAGAAAGAAAGTCAGGCGGTGGTGGACGCCCTTAATTCTAGCACTCGGGAGGCAGAGGCAGGAGGATCTCTGGGAGTTTGAGGCCAGCCTGGTCTACAGGGTGAGTTCCAGGACAGCCTACACAGAGAAACCCTGTCTCGAAAAAAAACAAACCAAAAAAAGGAAGAAGTAGGAAGGAAGCAGGGTAAATTGGTCATGCAGACAATCACTGTATTTGGTGGGCTGAGCCAGTCGGCCTAAATAGTGATTTCAAGACTAACGTAGACTATGGAGTAAGAGCCTGTCTCCAAAATCCGGAAGAGGGGAGGAGAGATGGTTTGCTGGGTAATGGCACTTTACAGCCCAACAAACTGAACCGGATCCCTGGAACCCATATGGTAGAAAGGGAGAATCAACCTCTGAAATCTGTCCTCTGTAAATAAATATGTGTGCCATGACACACTCCAGCCTACACACAGACACACACAAAATAAATGGGAAACACTCACACACTCTGGAAGCAGAGGCAGGTGGATCCCTGTGAGTTCGAGGTCAGCCTGGTCTACAGAGCGAGTTCCAGGGCCCCCAGAGAGCTACACAGAGAAACCCTGTCTCGAGAGAAAGGAAAAAAAAAAAACCAAAAAAACACTCACACAACCAAAACAACAACAAAAACAGAAGAAAAGGACAAGGGCTAGTGATGATAGCTGACCAGGTGTAGGTACTCCACACCAAGGCTGACAACCTGAGTTCAATCCCCGGTACCCAAACGATGGATGGGGACAACAGATCCCCAAATCTGTCCTCTGACCTGCATGTGCATATGATGGGGATACACACACACACACACATACACACACACACAATTGTATGTAATCAAAAAGTTTTAGCTCAGTTGATAAAGCGCCTGTCATACAGATACACGGATCCAATTTTGATGCCCAGAGCTAATGCAAAAAAGCCAGGAGTTGGTAGCTTGTTTGCACTTATAAACCTCAACATTGGAAACAAATGGGGCCCTGAGGCTGATTAGCCAGCCTCCACTAATCTACGTAGTGAGTTCCAAGCCAGTAAGGACTAAGCCAGTAAGGGTCTCCAAAAAAATAAATAAATAAAAAAGAGACCAGGACACAGGAATGGGGATAGCCAGGCCAGAAAGATGGCTGTGTTGGCTAGTTTTGTCAACCTGACATAAGGTAGAGTCATTTGGGAAGAGGGAACCTCCATTGAGAAAATGCCCCCACTAGACTGCCCTATGGGCAAGCCTGGGTGCATTTTCTGGATTGATGATAGATGCAGGAGGGCCAAGGTCACTGTGGGCAGTGTCCCACCTGGGTTGCTGGTTCTGGGTGCTATAAGAAAAGCAGGCTGGGCAGGCCATGAGAGCAAACCAATGAGCAGTGTTCCTCCATGGCCTCTGCTTCAGTTCCTGCCTCCGGGTGCCTGCCTTGAATTCCTGCGCTGTCCTGCTTTAGTCACGGAGTGTGACCTGAGAGTTGTAAGCTGAAACAAACCCTTTCCTGTCCAGGGTGATTCTGGTCATGGTGATTCATCACAGCAACAGGATCCCAAGACAATGGTTCAGGGGCTAAAAGCCTTGTTGCCAAGCCTGACAAACCCAAGCTTGATATCTGGAACCCACACAGTGGAAGGAGAGAACCAACTCCTACAAGTCATCTTTTGACCTCTACACTTGCACTGTGGCATGTATACACACACACACACACAAATAAATAAGTATTTAATAACATTTTTTGTTTTGTTTTGGTTTGGTTTTTTGAATTTTTTCAAGATAGGGTTTCTCTGTGTACCCTTGGCTGTCCTGGAACTCGCTCTGTAGATCAGGCTGGCCTCAAACTCAGAGATCCACCGGCCTCAGCTTCCCAAGTGTTGGGATCAAAGGCAGTGTGGGATCACTGCCCGGCCATAACTTTTTTTTTCTTTTTAAAAGACAGGGCCTCACTTTGTACCTCTCCAGCTGGAACAGAACATTTTATGTAACCCTAGGTTTCATCTCCAGCACCACGTAATACTGGCTATGGTGGTGTACACCTGTAATCCCAGCACTCAGGAAGTAGAGGAAGGATGATCAAAAAAAAAAAAAAAAAAAAAAAGTTCAAGGTCATTGTCATTGACACAGCAATTTCACCACTGGCCTGGGCTACATGAGACTGTCTGAGCAACAGCACACAATAAAAGGTGGATGAAGCCTAAAAATGATACCTGAGGTTGTCCTCTGGCCTCAACACACACATACACACACGTATGCAAGTACACACATATATGCATGCACACACAACAAAAATAGAGTACAATATGGAGCTGTGGGCACAGTACAAGCCAGCGGAGAGCCATGCAGAGTACCCCTGCCCATCTTCCCACAGGTGACTCAAGGTCTGGGGATCTGCCATCATCCCACCCCCACAAAGAATCTGCAAGGGAAATATTGACACAACCACCTCTCCCCACACAGGGGAGAGCCCACGCCGGATGCCATCCGCGCTGACGCTGCGCGGAGCGCCAGCATATGGCTCCTGCTGTTATGTTGGGGGAACACAAGCGACTGCCACACATAATGAGATGCTCACCCGGTGGGCTGCTGCCGCCCACTCACCGTATCTGCTGTTAAACAGGATCTGCACGCACTCCCGCAGTGTGTTGATGTCCTCCATCTCCTTGATGAAGACGTCCCACTTCTCTATCAAAACACAGAAGGCCCAGTGAGGGCTGGTCCCCAAAGTGGGGGCTGCCGCCTCCTGTCAGGGTCCCCAGTTCCTACCACTCGCCCTCCACAAGCCTAGGGTGCCACTCTAAAGCACACAGCCCCCCTAACCATTGTCACCTCGGTCCCTATGCAATTTAGGGTGCTCAGTGTCCCCTCGGCTCCCTCACCAGCCCGTGTCCCTTCCGTATCTCCCAAAGAGCTGTGTAGACTGAGATCTGTCTCTCCCCAGACCACCCTACCCCAGGTAGGCAAAAGCCCGGGAAAGCCACATCTCTTGAGGAAGGAGGGTCTTACTATGTAAGACCAGGCTAGACTGGATTTGAAATCCTCCTGCCTCAGCCTCTTGAGTGCTGGGGTGACAGTATGTGTCACTATGCCTAAGGAATTAGGCAGTACTAGTGCCGGGACCTAGGACCCTATACATGCTAGAGAAGTGATCTATTGTCGAGCCAAGCTCCCGGGGCCTCACTGAGACATTCTAGGGAGGCGCTCTAGTGCCGAGGAGGCACACCCCCTGCCACTCACTGGGGGAAATTATAAACAATTCATGACTGTTCAACCACATTCTCAGCCCCCACATACATTCTTTTCCTTTCTTTTGTCTATTTTGTTTTGTTTTTTTGAGACAGAGTTTCTCTGTGTAGCTTTGGCACCTTTCCTGGATCTCACTCTGTAGACCAGGCTGGCCTCGAACTCACAGAGATCTGCCTGGCTCTGCCTCCCGAGTGCTGGGATTAAAGCCGTGCGCCGCCACAACCCCCCCCCCCACCCCCCCCCCCGGCTTTTTTGTCTTTTCTTTAGAGACAGGGCCTTACTGCATAGCCCAGGTTAGTCTCAAAGGACAGCTTCCTGTCTCAGCTCTGGCAGGCCTGGTACTTTTTATGTAAAGACCTCAAACTCACAGAGATCCTCCTGCCTCTGCTTCCTGAGTGCTGAGTGAAAGGCACACACCTAACTAACTTTTTTGATATATCTTCTCTTCCCTCACTGACTGGAACATTCTGGGCTTTCTCATGGATAGAATGGGGGCAGAAATGATAGTCATTTCTGAAATGAGGTCATGAAAAAACCGGCTTCCTTCCTTCCTCTGTCTTTTACCTCTAAGTCTGAGAACACCAGCCGCCATTTTGTGAGCCTGCTCACCTGACCTGATGTAAAGCAGCCCAGCTGGTTTAGAACTTAAGTCTCTGGCCTATGCCTGCAAGGGTGACCTTACACATGGCTCTCCAGCTTTCAAGCCTTCGGATTAGACTGCAGCCTGGCTGACAGCATGCCGACAAGCTTGTGAGAGACCCTTCACCACAAACTACTTCCTTATCGGCTGTGATAATCAGGTTTGCCTGTCAACTTGACAGGATTCAGAATCACCATGCGAACTAGCCTCTGGGTATGTTTGTGAGGGAGTTTCTAGACTGAGTTCACAAAGGTGGGAAGACTCACGCTAACTGCGGGCAGTACCATCCCATCGCTGAGATCCCCGATTATATAGAAAGAAGAAACCAAACAACACCAGCATTCACCTCTTCCCGGCTCTGATTGTGTGACCAGCCACCTCATGCGCCAATCACCATGTTCTCCCCACCGTGACGGACTGTAACCCCTCGAACTGTGAGCTCCAACCAAGTCTTTCCCCCTCATTGCTTTTTGTTGGCTCTCTTACCACAGCAAAGAGAAAAGTAACTCCATGGCAATGAGAAAACTAATACACACACAGAAACTACGTAGTAACAAATGCTTGTTTTAAGCTGTAGCTTGGGGATATTTGTGACACCCATGGCTGGCACACCTAGGTTTGACTCTCAGCCCCTTGGGCAAAAACTGCCCCTGTCTTCTCTCATCCATATCTGATGGACCCATTGTCATCAAAGAAAACCACTCTGGCCAGGTCACTGCCAAGGGCGCCGGCCTACCTGACTTGTCATGGACAATGGAGAAGAGGATGCGCTTGGAAGCATGGACATTCTGGATGAGAGGCCCAGCAGGTCCTGCGGGCTTCTGTCCTGAACAAGGGGGAAAGAGAGGCATCCATTTTGGAGGGGTCCCACATACCTCAGAGAAACTAGAACGGAGCCTGGCGATCAGGAGGCTCCAGGCTAGATCCCTAACTACAAATCTCAGTTGCTCTAAACCAGACTTGGCTATCCAGAGGCAGGTACCACAAGAGCAGGATGCCAGGCTCCCCTTCCCTTTCTCATTCTTTTAATCGCATGTATTCATTTATCTATAAAGATCAAATGACAACTTGTGGAAGGCAGTTCTCACTTACTATGTGGGTCCCAGGAATTAAACTGAGGTCACTGGGCTTGATGACAAATGTCTTTGGCTAGGCAAGCACTCGATCAACTGAGCCATATCGTCCAACACCCAAGTCTGAAATGTCCACTTTAGGACCTTTTTTTTTTCCCCCCAGACAGGCTTTCTCTGTGTACTAGCTCTGGCTATCTGGGAACTCACCATGTAGACCAGGCTGGTCTCGAACTCACAGAGCTGTGCCTGCCTCTGCCTCCCAAGTGCTGGGATTAAAGGCGTGTACCAACACTGCCCGGCTGCTTTAGGAATCTTGATCCCAAGTATCTTAGATAAGGGATACTCCATAAGCATTCCACTTTACAAACGAAGAAACTGAGGTTCAGTGAGATTGAGACTTGCCCTGGCATACACAGCCAGGATAGAGCCCACATCTTCGTCACCCCCCGCTGCTCCTTCTCTTAGGCCCCTAAATCTTGAATCCAAGCAGGGTATGCAGTAGGTGCTCATTAAGTGCATATGGGCATTTTATTCCCTTTTTAATTACGTTCATCTCTTGTGGGTGTGCGCATGCGTGGAGGTCAGAGGACAACTTGTGGGACTCAATTTTCTCCTTCCGCTACATGAGTCTCAGATTGAACTCAGGTCATCAAGCTGGTTGGCAAGCACCTTTACCTGCTGGACCATCTCATCATCCCTGATTAGTTCATTTATGCTCTTCACAGCCTCCTGGGGGTGAAGATGCCTTTTGGTCCCATTCAAGGTCTGTTCAGAAGGTCAAGTGGAGGCCCCAGTTTAACTGGGTCTCAAAAGAATGCAAGTGGCAAGACCCACCCCTGCCCAGAACTGCCTCCTCCTTCGAGGCAACCACCCAGAGAGACATGCAGGTCCCCACTGCAGCATTTACCACAGCAGTCGGAGAAATCTTGGGCACTGGGGACCTGGGGCTCAGGCACAGGCCAGCCCAAGCCCAGGTCGCTGGGGGTCAACGGGCAGGTGGGCGCCTCCTGCTTGAGTTCCCGGATGGTGTGGTTGGGCATCGAAGTGCTGTACAGGAAGTTGGCCATGGAGGATGGGGTGGCGGTGGGGGGCAGGTCCTGGGGAGTGACCTTGGAGGCCTGGCCATGCAGACCGCAGTCTCGGGACCCCTTGGGTAGCAGGGAGATACCGTTCATCTCCACCAGCGCCTTTGAGTCCCGCCCACCATCATCAGGAGGCCTGGGTGAAGGAGAGGAGACAGTGACCGCTTTGAATACCTACTCTTGCCTGTCAATCTCTCCCTTCACAGCCCATGTAACACACTCTACAGAATATAACAGACCTGGGTTACTACAGGTATTCCAATGGTTTGGGATGGGAGCCAGGCCCTACATTATAGGTAGGGATGCAAGCCTGGCAGCGTGGGCATCATGCACCCGATACTAGGTGGCAACTACTGTCAGACCCAGGCCTGCACCAAGCTGCCTCAGATCTCCAAGCCACCAATCCCATCCTCCACTTGGCTTCTTCCCATCCCATAAGATTTAGCAGCTATATGCAACATGAAGACCCCAACTCTGCTGAGCCCATGGTATCCACCTTAGCCCAGGCTTGACCTCTCCTCTCGTGTGTCTTTTATGAATCTCATTCACAGCCCAAGCTCACATCCAGGCCAGGCGGCTCTCCCAGCTCAAGGTTTTTAAAATGAATTCATGTTTCTGAGACAGGGTCTCATGGAGCCAAGGTAGCCTCACTATGTAGTTGAAGATGGCCTTGAACTCTTGGCCCTCTGACCTCTACTTCCCCAAAGGGCTTAGATTATAGGCATACATCCCTACATGACAATCTCAACTCTACCCACCATCATCCTTTGTCCATGACCTCTGCAAAGCCTTTGGTGTGGCTCTTTCCTAAGCCAGAATTCTCCCGGACGCTGTGACACAGAATTCCCTTGGGAAACTCCCATAGTCATGCCCTGACTCAGATTACACTGTATGACTGGGTCTTAGCTTTGTTTCCTCCATGAGACCCAAAGCTTTCCTAATGAGTTCCCTCAGGGTGTCTCCAGCTTTCTGCCCTCTGGCTGGGTATGGGGTGTAACAGATTTGTCTGTCTTTTGGGTTGTTTTTTTTTTTTGGGGGGGGGGGGGGGACAATCTCGCTACATAGCCCAGGTTGCCTTGGAATCTGCCAGGGTGGGTCAAACTCAGATATCCACCTGCCTCTTCCTCACAAGTGCCAAGATTAAGCTGTGCACCTCCACATCCTGAAAGTTTTAACTGTCAACTTGACATTATCTACAACCACTTGGAAAGAGAGTCTCGAAGAGGGGTTTAGACTAGGCTGTGGACACGCCTGTGAGGAGACTGTCTTGATTACACTGAGGTGGGACAGCCCAGCCCACCGTGGGCGGCATTACTCTCTAGGCAAGGGATTCGGAACTGTCTAAGAGTAGAGAAAGCAAGCTGAGCTGGCCTGCATGCCTGAATTCATTGCTTTTGGCTCTTGACTGTGGATGTAATGTGATGAGCAGCTTCCAATTCCTGTTGACTTGATCTCCCTCCCTACAGTGATGGACTGTAACTTGGTGATTGTGAGCCAAATAAGCCCTTTCTCCCATAATGGGCTTTTGTTGGTATTTTTAACCCAGCAAAAGGAAATAAAATTAGGACAGGGGCTTACTTACCTCCTGAGCTTAAAACGTATTCGGTGGCTGTGCTCCAAAATGGCCATGAGCGCCTTGGGGTCATACTCTGATGGCCTCCGGAAGGCCAGGCCCTCGGGCAGTCCCTGTACAGCCAGTAGCCCCGGCTCCCTGAGCAGCCTCTCATAGGGCAAAGGTACCACGCTGGCCCTGCCCATAGCCTCACCTGTCAAAGAGTAAACAGTGAGGCTCAGTACTGACGGGGGCTTGGATAGACACACTGGAAGCCAGGCAATGTGTGGTGACTCCCCCCTGGGAGAGGGGCTCTGGGTCCCTCATTGCTGTAGACGCGGTACAGAATGAAGAACACCAGCCTGTAGACAGAACTCTACTGTGTATGTCTGAGGGCTGGATAGAGGAGGCAGGAAAGCCCTTATGCCAAGTTGGTAGGTTGAACTTGGCCGGTGATGGTACACGGAATTTTAACCTCAGGCTTATCTTCTGGGAAGAAAGCCTTGGTCTCTGGAATAACCAGGAGACAGGAGGGAGGGTCTACTGGAAGACCATGTCAGTGGGGGTGGGGAGGTGGTAAGAGGTGGCTATACAGGAAAGGTGCCTGGGAGTTTGGAGATGGTAGAGAAAGCCCTGTCCTGGGGTCTTGTTTTGCTCAGGGGTCCTACAGCGCAGAACGGGTCTGCTCTACTGGGTGAGATGGGGGCCTCCCCAGGCTGTGTGGGACCAGGATGGGGTGGGTAGGGAACAACTGGGTAGAGCTGGGCAGAAGTGAGCAGGGCTAGGCTGGGGGCTGGGTGGGGTAAGGGCAGGGCTGACCTGGGTAGGGCATTGCTGAGCAACTATACTGGGCGGGCTGGGCGAGATAGAACTGGGCTAAAGTGGGTAGGGCAAAGCTAAGCAGGGCTAGATAGAGAGTAGGCAAGCTGCCGATGAGACAGAATGAACATGAACGGGATTGGATTAGAATATAGCTGGGTGGAGCTAGGTTGATGTGGGCGGGGCTAAGGTAGGTGGGGATTGGATTAGAATATGGCTGGGTGGGGCGGGGTTGAGGTGGGCGGGGCTAAGGTAGGTAGGGCACAGCTGAGTAGGAGTGGGTTATGGGTAGGTAAGGCTAAGTAAGCAGTGTGGATTTGGACTGGTCTTGGTGGAGTGTGGCTGGGTGAGGCACAGCTCCACACAGCTGGGCAGAAGTGGGTGGGGTCTAGGCTGGAGGCGGATAGGGCAGTGCTGACGTGGTTGCTGGGCAGGGCTAGGCTGAGGTGGGCAAGGCTGCAGGGTTGAGCTTGGTAGGGCAGGGCCAGACAGGAGTAGGTTGAGTTGGGTGGGGCGGGGTGGGGCAGAGCTGGTGTGAGACAGGTGGGGCTAAATTGGATTTGGCAGGGAAGCCCTGGGCTGAAGTGGATGAATAGGGCTGAGCAGGACTGGGTAAGTTCCCCCCCCCCCCCCCCCCCCCCCCCCGCGCCCCGCTGGGGTGGGTGGAGCTAAATCAGCTAAGGCTGGGCCGAGACTGGCAGAGCAGGTGAGGCCAGGATTGAAGTATGGCTGGATGAGGTCGGGTCAAGGTGGATGTGGTTATACTGGGAAGGCATGGCTGGGCTGACTTGGATATGGTGGGATTGGATTAGGAGGAGAGGCTGGGTCAGACACCAGTGGGCGGAGCAAGGCAGGATGGAATGGAGTGGGATCTAGCTGGGTGGAGTGAGGCTGGGCTGAGGTGGGCGGGGCTGGGCTGAGGTGGGCGGGGCTGGTCTGGAAGGGACTGAACCTAGATAAGGCAGGTAGGTGTGGGTAGGCTGGTCTCCCACCCGCCCCTTTCCGGAATGGAATGAGGAAGGATCTTACTATAAAGAACATCAAACACTTCCTCTACCATCTTCTGCAGCAGGTATACATCCGAGCACTGCTCCAGCGAGGACCGCGGGATGCTCCGGCCACCACCCTCACAGCGTTGCACCTTTTTAGGGTGTCCTGCTTCTGGATCCTTCCATAGGGGTCCACCTGTGGGACAAGAGCACACGAGCCGTAGGTTGGTTGGTGTTAAGCCCCGGGAATCAGAGGAACAAGTGACTGACTGAATGAATGAATGCACACCCTGCTGAGAGCCTGAAAGGATTGTTCAGGGTTGTTCCTTCACTCTCTGAGCCTCAGTTCGCGATCGTTCAAAGAAGCCCAAGGAGTCTGGCTCAGAACTGGGACTCCATGAGCATCTGTTTCACAGACCACATTCTATATTCATACTAACCCGCTCTCTTTCAACCCACCTAAGCCCTACTTTTCCTGCTCGGCCCACATGGAAAACAATGGAGATACGGCGATGGTTAGTTTTAAATGTCAGTTTGCCACAATCTGAGAAGGACGCCTCCCGTGAATTATCTAGATTAGTGGTTCCCAACCTGTGCGCCATGATCCCTTGGGAAGGCATCAAACAACCCTTCCATAGGGATTGTCTGTTGTTGGTTGGTCTTTGGTCTTTTTTGGGGGGCCGTCATCCAGCTCGCAAATAAATACACATGGAGGCTTATTCTTAATGATGAATGCCCGGCCTTAGCTTGGCTTGTTTCTTTCCAGCTTTGTTTAACTTAACTCATCCCATTTACCTTTTGCCTCTGGGCTTTTCCTGTTCTCTTACTTCTGTAAATCTTACTCTTACTCTGTGGCTAGCTGGCTGTGCAGCTGGGTGGCTGGCCCCTGGGGTCCTCCTCCTTCTCTGGCTCCTAGCTCTCCAATCCCTCTTCCTGGATTTCTCCCTCTGTATATTCTTTCTGCCTGCCAGCCCCACCTATTCTTTCTCCTGCCTTGCTATTGGCCATTCAGTTCTTTATTAGACCATCAGGTGTTTTACACAGGCACAGTAACACAGCTTCACAGAGTTAAAACAAATGCAACATAAACAAAAGTAACACACCTTAAAATAATATTCTACTACAGTTGTCTAAGACCATTGGAAAACACAGATATTTACAGTAGAATTCATAGCAGTAGCAAAATGACAGTTATGAAGTAGCAACGAAAATTATTTTTATGGTGGGGGGGGTCACCACAACATGAGGAACTGTATTAAAGGGTCACAGGCTGAGAACCACTGAGCTAGATCGAATGGCCTATGGGCACAGACATCTAAGTGGGGAATCGTCTTGAATGCTAATTGACCCAGCCCATCGTGGGCAGCACTACTCTCTAGGCAATGGGGCTCTAAGGTATATGAAACAGGAAAAAGCTAGATGAGAACAAGCTCCCTGCTCTTGACTGTGAATGGGATGTGATTAGCTGCTTGAGTTCCTGCCTTGACTTCTCTGAAATAAGACGGCAACCTAGAATCATTTAGCAAAATAAACCCTTTCCCCCTCGGTTGTTTTTGGGTTTTTTTTGGGGGGGGGCTGTTAGGGAATCTTTATGAAATATTTTAGTTCTTTGGGATAGTGCTGTGAGATGTTCTGTATGTCAAATGTGTTGCTGATTAGTCAGTAAATAAAACACTGATTGGCCATTGGCTAGGCAGGAAGTGTAGGCGGGACAAGGAGGAGAATAAAGCTGGGAAGTGGAAGGCTGAGTCAGAGAGACACTGCCAGCCGCCATGATGACAAACAGCATGTGAAGATGCCGGTAAGCCACGAGTCATGTGGCAAGGTATAGATTAATGGAAATGGATTAATTTAAGCTGTAAGAACAGTTAGCAAGAAGCCTGCCACGGCCATACAGTTTGTAACCAATATAAGTCTCTGTGTTTACTTGGTCGGGTCTGAGTGGCTGTGGGACTGGCAGGTGAGAGAGATTTGTCCTGACTGTGGGCCAGGCAGGAAAACTCTAGCTACAGGATAGGGTCTCTCTATGTGGACCAGGGTGTCCTCGAACTCACAGAGATCCGCCTGCCTCTGTCTCCCAAGTACTGGGATTAAAGGCGTGCTTGAAGCTACAACAGAACAGAGGATGAGCAGGGTCTTGTGATCCCTTCCAGCTTGGAGCTGGCTCTCCTTGGCAACCATCCAGGCTTGAAATAAACTATCCTGATTCTGAGGGCTATAAATAGCCACTCTTTCTGGCTGTGGAAAATAAGGCACACTGTCCCCAGGAGGCTGGGAGGGGCTACAGGACCCCACTACACCCACTCCTCGAAGCCAGCTCCACCCAACCTTAGAGACAGAACAGGCTGGGAGAGCAGAGTAGGTGGAGTCTCGGGCTCCTGGGGAAACAGCTATATGCTCCAGCTATGTACCCCACGAATGATACATGCAGTGCTGGATCGATCTGGGGCGGCTAATCCTAGGGATAAGGCCCAGGAGACCATAAAAACTACTAACAAAACTATCAACAGCTGGTACCTGGGTGTCCACGGAGATCCCTGGCACCCCCCTCAACCCCAGGGATATGAGATAGGAGAAAGCGAGACAAGTTCTATCCTTGACTTTGAAGGGATTAGGGAGAAAGAGCAAGGGTCTGAGAAGAGGAGTCCTGGCCTTGAATCATGCTCCCTGGGATGGCTATTCTTGGTTGTTGTGGTGATTTGACTAAGGATGGCCCCCACAGACTCTTAGATTTGAATGCCTGGGGTCACTAGGGAGTGGTGTTATTTGAAAGGATTAGGAGGTGTGGCTTTGCTGGAGGGGGTGTGTCACTGGGGAGGAGCTTTGAGGTTTCAAAAGCCTATCTATGCCAAGCCTAGGATCTGCTGCCTGTGGACCTGGATGTAGAACTCTCAGCTACCTCTCCAGCACCATGTCTGCCTGCATGCCGCCATGCTTCCCATCGTGATGAGAATGGACTAAACCTCTGAACTGTCAGCCAGCCCCAGTTACGTAGTTTGCTGATAAGAATTGCTGTGGTCACGGTGTATGTGTGTCACTTCATAGACTAAGACAGTTGTGAAACTGACTAAACCTGGAATTAACGACAATCCCAAAGACTGGGCACACCTGTGAGGGATTTTTTTTTTTCTTAATTAAATTATTTGAAGTGGGAAGGCCCATCACTTCTAATCCGGATCTTTGGGGTGGGAAGATAAACCTTTAACCCAGATCTCTTGAGGTAGGAAGATCCACCTTTAATCTGGGCCACACCTTCAGCTGGCAGCCTAAATAAAGGTCACAGAAGAAGGAGGCTGGCACACTCTTTGCCTGCTTGCCCTCATTCTTGCTGGCAAGTCCACTCCCTCACTGGCATTAGAACCTCCTTCTTCAGGACCCTAGTGTATCCTGAAGACCAGCTGAGACATCCAGTCTCGTGGAGTTGACAATTACTGAATTTTTGTTGTTCTTGTTTGTTTTGTTTTTCAAGACAGGGTTTTCTCTATGTAGCCTTGGCTGTCCTGGAACTCGCTCTGTAGACCAGGCTGGCCTAGAACTCACAGAGATCCACCTGCCTCTGCCTCCCCAAGTTCTGGGATTAAAGGCGTGCGCCACCACTACTGCCCAGTGGATACTTCACAACTATTGGATTCTTGGACTTTCTGTTGATAGGCAGCCATTGTTGGACTAGCTGGACCACAGCCTGTAAGCTACTCTAATAAACCATATGTATGTGTGTGTGTAAGAAAAATTCCCCTCCTGTAAGTTCTGTTTCTCTAGAGAACCCTGACTACTACACACACCTTCCATCCTGGGCTACGGCAGTAGGGGGAATTTGCCCACCGTGCCTCAGTTTCCCATCTGTACACCATGGGTAACATTTTCATGACCCTCTGGGAAAGGTAATGAGGTTTCGGGCCAATGGCCCCGCATGAAGTGTTGTTTGAGTCTGGTGTCGCTGGGGATGGAACCGAGGGCCTGAGGAACGCTAAGTAAAGCACTCTGCAGCCAAGCGACCCTCCTGGGGGACTGTAAGTCGGCACTCTACCTTGGAGGCCCACCCGACCAAGGGCTGTCCATCACTCACAGCCCACGCAAACTGAGCACTTCTTACCCCAAAACAAACAACAAAAACAGTTGTCGCCCCACAAGGGCCTCAGAGGTCAGAATAAGTGACCTTGCATCATCAAGTGTCATACGCTCGCCGGGCGGTGGTGGCGGCGCACGCCTTTAATCCCAGCACTTGGGAGGCAGAGCCAGGCGGATCTCTGTGAGTTCGAGGCCAGCCTGGGCTACCAAGTGAGTTCCAGGAGAGGCGCAAAGCTACACAGAGAAACCCTGTCTCGAAAAACAAAAACTAACGAAACAAAAAACGTGTCCTACACTCACACGAGCTAAATATCTTAGCTGGACAACGGCTGGTCCCTAACCTCAAATAGACTCAGTCAAGAGGTAGAACTGGGAGCTGGAGAGATGGCTCAAAGGTTAAGAACACTGGTTGTTCTTCCAGAGGTCCTGAGTTCAGTTCCCAGCAACTACATGGTGGCTCACAGCCATCCGTAATGAGATCTGGTTCCCTCTTCTGACCCGCAGGCATACATGCAGGCAGAGCACTGTATACATAATAAATAAATCTTTAAAAAAAAAAAAAAAAGTGGCTCCTTTGGCAGAATGCTCACTTAACATGCACCAAACCCTGAGTTCCACACCAGCACCCTAGACACCAGAAGGGGTGGTGAGTGCCTTCCCCTCCTGGGCAGGTGAAGGCCAGAGAACCAGGAATTCAAGGCCAGCCTGGGCTACAGGAGAACCTGTCTTAACACAGCAGGGAGTCAGCAAGAGGGCCCAGCAGGTCAAGAAGCTTTCGCCCATGCCTGAAGACCTGAGTTCAAATCCTAGGACCCACATGGTGGAAAAGAAAACTGACTCTAGCAAGTCTTCTGATGTCTATATTCATGCCATAGCATGTGCATGCCCACACACTTGCACACAATATAAATAGAATAAACAGGAAAAATAAAAATAAAAATAAAAAAAAATAGGTAGAACACTAGCTGAGGGTATGGCTCAGTAACAGTGCTCTTGCTTAATAGGCATGAGGGTCCAGGTTCAATGCCCAGCACCATTAACAAATAGAGTAGAATCAGGTGACCGCTCTGGGCCTCAGTGTTCCCCTCTAAAAATGGGCATATGGACATGACTAGTGGTAGGCTTCAGTGATAGGTGTTGCTAGGTAGTTCTAACAGGCTCCATTTGGAACAAACTTGTGTCCAGTTCATCCCTCCAACAGGCTCTGCGGACTGGACAAAGCAGGGGACACAGAGAGATGGGCCAGGACCCTTGTCCTTTAGACACAGCAGGGCCCTGGGCATGGAGGACGTGGGGTACTCACGGCAGAACCTGAGGAAGTCTGACTGTAGCTCCTTCCGGGTGTTCAGAAACATCCGTCCCTTCTCGGTGCCCATCACGAAGACGCTCTCATTGTGCACCGCCACACAGGCCACCTCCGTGTTCAGCTTGGAGAGCGCCGAGCACTGTGGGGGAGGGGCAAGGTGTGTGAGCTAAAATCAAGACCAGCCTGGAACCCAGCACGGCTGTATGTTGTGCCTGTAATCCAGCACCCGGGAGGACAATGAAGAGTTTGAGGCTAGCCCTAACCACAGAGACGGGACTATCAGTGAGAGATGAGCCCTCCAGCCCACTTTAACAGCCTTCTCTAAACAGTGAAAACCGGGCACCATGCAGCCTGGAGAACATGGCAGTAGAATTTCAATAGAATCGTCATAGGAAAAAGATCTCTCTAAGCAGGCCTGGCAGGATGGCTCAGTGGGTAAACTGCTTGTCTTCTAAGCACAAAGACCTGAGTTCGATTCCCAGCACTCGTGTGAAAAGGGCTGGGAGTGAGGCTGGGGGCGGGAAGACTCTGGACGTCAACCTCTGGCCTCCACACACAGCACAACCAAGTAGAGTCACTGGTCTTCTGAGCATAGAGAGCCTCCTTTCTAGATTGCTCCGGTTGCTGTCTGCTCCAGGTGCAAGCACATCTCACACACAGCCAAGTATGGTGGCACACACTTGTAATTCCGGCACTGGGGAAATTGAGACAGGAGAATCCATGAGACAGGAGAATCAATTCTGGCCAGCCAATCTAGTTTACTTGATGAGTTCAGGCCAGTGTGAGATCTGGTCTCAAAACTAAAACAATATGGTCTACGGCTACCCCCCCTGAATGTGCCTGGCCTCATCTAATCTCAGAAGCGAAGCATGGCTGAAGGGGAGACTGCATACCCACCATCCGACAGGTGGATGAGGTTCCAGACACAGTGGTGGCCGGTGTAGAGAAAGAGCTAGCACCCAGCTAGTTTCTGAGGGTGTCTCCCACCTCGGGCATTAAATATGACCTTGAGCAGCCTATAGGAAGAACTACCTAGAAATGAGGTCCCCTATGCTCAGGAAACCAGTGCCTCACTGTGTGACCTCAAGCAAGATGCTGCCTTCTCTGAGTTTCCACTTTATCATCAGAAAATGCCAACGGATGCTCTACACTTTGTTTTCGCAGGTTTTGTGTGTGTGTGTGTATGTGGTGCTGGGATTCGAACCCAGAGCCCTCCTCCATGTGTTTAAGCTCAGTCTTGTCCTTTCAGGGTTTCACTCTGTAGCCCAGGATGGTCTCAAAATCAAGATCTTCCTATTGCAACCTCCCGGCTGTGGGATTCCAGGGACATGTATGCCCAAACATACTTCAGTACAATCATACATACGTATGTATCTTGGTGTCTACACACAAGTTTGCATGTGTGTGGAGGCCAGAGGACAAACTTAGCTGCTGTTCCTCAGACACCATTCATAATTGCTTTTCTATTTATTTGTTTGTTTGTTTGCTTATTTGTGTTTAAGAAGGGGTCATTTACTGACTTGGAACTCTGCCTAGCAGGCCTCCTTAACACTGGGATTACAAGTGTGTGCCCCCAGGCCTGGCTTTTTTATCTGGATTCTGGGGGGATTGAACTCAGGACCTTATGGTTGCAAGGCAAGCGCTTTACCACTTGAGCTCTCTCCCCACTCCCCAGAGATACAGAGATTTTGATGGGCATACCCTCTCGGAGGTCTCCCACCTTTGATCTCGGGCCCTCTTCCCACCTGACCAGAGACTCACCATGGAATCTAAGGCGGACACCAGGCTGTTGATGAGCTCGTCTTTGCGTGTGAAGGTGGAGTTCCAGCGCTCAGACCCGCAGCCGTTGGTGGGGATGTCACAGTGCTTCCCCAGCAAGGCCATGGTCACCTAGAGAAAACAGTGAGGACACAGAGGGTAGTAGACACAAGGTAGGCACACCTGGCTCCCAGGGTCACCTGGACTTCGCAAGTGGGAAAGACTGCCAGCTGGACTTCCTTAAAGGACCTCAAAGGTATGACAGGAGACAGCAGCTACTGCAGAAACCTGCAGAGATCTAAGTGAATAATGTACAACTATTTTCTCCCATTTGAAACATTTTCTGAGAATTTAAACATTCCCTCCTAAAGGGAGGCTCTTGAAACTCAAGGACAAAGCAACATACATAACTCAGGAAGTTCAGGAAACTCATAAGGATCAGGAAGCTCGGGAAACTTATAAGGCTCAGGAGGCTCAGGAAGCTCGGGAAACTTATAAGGCTCAGAAAGCTCAGGAAACTCATAAGGCTCAGGAAGCTCGGGAAACTTATAAGGCTCAGGAAGCTCAGGAAACTCATAAGGGCTCAAGAAGCCCAGGAAATTCATAAAGCTCAGGAAACTTACAAGACCCAGGAAACTCAGAAGCTCACGAAGCTTAGGAAGCTGAGAATGTTGTAAGATTCACAAGGCCCCCCTCAAAGTTTATAAATGCAGAGAGCAACAGTGTGTGAGGGGCTGGAGCAGAGATACAGGATACTCTTCTGTAGAGCTGTCTGTAGCTCATGAAGAGTTCCAGAGAGGCAACTCTTTGTGAGTGGCATCAACCAGGTTGAGGTGGGCTCTTTGGTGATGCAACTGACTTGAGTCACCCCCATAACAGCAAGTAGCCCCTCACCCACTGTGGTGGTTTGAATGAGAATGGCTCCTATCAGCTCATACATCTGAGTACTTTAGCCAGCCTCCCCCCTCTTGGAGAACTGTTTGAGAAGGATTAGGAGGTGTGGTCTTTGGAGTAGGTGTGGCCTTACTGCAGGAAGTGTGTCGCTGGGGGTGGGCTTTGATGTTTCAAAAGTTCTCCCTCCGCCTGCTGCCTGTGGATCAGGATATAAAGCTCTCAGCTACCGTTCCAGGGCCATGCCTGTCTGCTTCCTGCCATGACGACTGTGAGCTAACTAAAGCCTCTAAAACGGTAAGCAAGCCCTCTCTCAAATGCTTTTTTTCCTACAAGTTGTCTTGGCCATGTGTCTCCTCATAGCAATAACGAAGACATCTTCTAAGTAACCAAAACTCACTCACTCACTCATTCACCAAGCTAGCCTTGGATGGAATGCTTTCTTCAGTCTGTGGTCAGTGCCCTCCGGGGGCAGACATTTGGTGGCATCTCTCCATGAAAAGACACACAACAGCAACAAAGCTGAGAGTTCAATTCATAACCCAAGCGAGCCCATTACCATGATACTAGTCTACCAGATAGGTTCTAACTACCAGCGTTTTCCATGGATGTAACTCTAGTCACATCCCTCGCCTGCTCGCACACCCTCCTTGGTGGCTTCCGATGGCCCACACATGTTGGTTGACAAGGCCTTCCTTACTTTGCAGCTTGGGCTGCTTGAACTCTTAATCTTCCTTTCTTCTACCTATTAAGTACTGACTGGAATTACTGGCCTGCGTCCACATCCCTCTAACCAACCCTGTTGGAAAAGCACCTGACTGCCTCATCCATGGCGAGGCTGGGCATTGCCCTCTCTACACTCTGTACACACCTCTGGGCTTGGTCACACGTTCCCAGATCAAGGCCACTGCCTTGAAGCCGGAGTCTATTTCCTGGATTTGGGACATGGACTTGGAGCAGGTCCGGACAGCCACAACAGGGCACAGGCCACTTCCTCAAACTAGGGATTCCCCAGAAAAGGACTTTGTCCCAGCTTACTGGGGCTCCACACGGCTCCTCCTTTAAAAGCCTCTTTGGCTTGCTCAACCCTAAATCCAAAGACAAGGCTGCTGATTGCTGGTGGCTGGCTTCATCCTGTTCTTCCAGAGCTGTTCCTAGCTGTGTGCGTGGGGTGGGGTGGGGTCCCTACATGCTGCCTCTGAGAGCACCAGCCCCTCACTAGACCAAACAAAAGGAGGTAAGGGGCAGGAGCAGGGGCAGGACACTCTCTGGCTGGGTGTGTCATCCATGGATAGATCTACAGATTCCACACCCTGTTTGCCACCTGTCAACAGAGCTTCTAGACGCTCACTGGGTGGGGTGGGGAAAAGCCAGGTGGCAGGGCCTCCAGGCCCACAGCCTAAAAGGGCACCAAGCCCAGGATGTCTGCGGCCACGACAACCGACTCCCAGACTGTAAACTCCGCAAGGGTCAATCTGTGTCTGTCCTCCATGGCTGACCCTCGGGGTCCAATTCACTGTCCGATGCGTTCAACGGACCAGGCACAGAATCCCAGACACACACACACACCCCCAACCTGGCTGCAGTGGGATGGCATGGGAACCTCACAACAGCAGCAGGTGTCATAGGTGGGTATGAAGACGCCACACCAATAGCCAACACCAGACCATTAAAACAGAATAGAGAACAGAACCCAGCTCTGGGCCCAGTACTGGCTCAGCTCCGCTCTTGGGCTACAGGAAAACACTGGTCTGAGGGCCAGTGAAATGGTTCAGAGAGTAAAGGTCCTTGCTAAGGCCCTGAGTGGATCCCCTGGGACCCACATAGTAGAAGGACAAAACTGACTCTTGCAAGTTGTCCTCTGACCTCCACAGGCATGTGGTGGCGTGTGCACACAGAGACATACATGTACACATACCAAAATAAATAAGAATGCAGGGGGAAAAAACATAAAACAAATGGTTTGAGCAGGGCCTACTGGCCCACCCCGTTATCTCAGCTACTCAGAAGACCAAAGCAGGAGCATCTCAAGTTCAAGGACAGCCTCGGCTACAGAGTGAGTTCAAGCCACCCTGGGAAACTTAGTGAAAGTCTGTCTCCACTAACAACAACAAAAAAATGATTATAAGAGGGCTGTGTATATAGCTCAGCAGTAGAGCACCTGCCTAGAATCCCCCAGTGAGAGGGGCTGGAGTGTGGTTCAGTGGTAGAGCACCTGCCTAGAACCCCCCAGTGAGGGGCTGGGGATGTGGCTCAGTGGTAGAGCCCCTGCCTAGAATCCCCCAGGGAGGGGCTGAAGTGTGGCTCAGTGGAAGAGCACCTGCCTAGAATCCCCCAGTGAGGGGCTGGGGTGTGACTCAGTGGAAGAGCACCTGCCTAGAATCCCCCAGTGAGGGGCTGGGAGGCATACTTCCACATTAGAGTGTCTGCCTAGCAAGTTCAAGACCTTGAATTCCATCCCCAGAACCACAAAGATAAGTTAATAATAAATAAACCAAGCGAGGCGGTGCACACCTGTAATTCCAGGCATACAGAAAACAGAGGCAGGATGACCGGGAATTCAAAGACATCACTGGCTACATGGTGAGTTTGAACCAGCCTGGTTATAGGAGACCCTATCTCAAAACAAGTAGCAAAGAAAATAAAAAACAGCCAGGTATAATGGTACACGCCATTAATCCCAGCACTCGGGAGGCAGAGGCAGGCGTAGGCGGATCTCTGTGAGTTCAATTCCAGCCTGGTCTACAAAGAGAGTTCCAGGACAGCCAGAGCTGTTACACAGAGAGGAGAGAAAAAAAGTAGAAGAAACAGAAAAAGAGAGAGAGAGAGACATGGAGTGTACATCAGAACAGTCACTCAAGGATATGGAAGACAGGCCATGGACAGGATACATTGAAAGAGAGGCTGCTGGTAGCTCTTTGTCTTGGCCATTCTGTGGCCCTAGGTCACCCTGGTGCGGGTATAGGAAGGGTCTACTGTATAACTGTACTATCAAATCCCTAGCCAGGACGTCTGCCTGCCTGGGAGCCTGAGGCTTCCTGCACAGACAGCCCTTCAGACATGCTGCCAGCGACTCCTTTGAGCCCTTGGGCCATTCCCAGAAAAACTCTGGGTCGTCAGCCGCTCAGCTGCCCAGACCCAAATCAAATCAGGGCCAGGCAGGCAGCAGCAGTTGGCACTCTTGACCTCCAGCTCGCTCCAGACTGCCCTGACTCCTTCTGGCCAAGGTCCCAATCTACTTAGGAGAGAACCGGGGACTCGGAGCCAGAGGAATAAGGAGATGGAAGGGAGCTGAGGTGTGGACTATCCTAAATCCTGGTCCCAGCGAGCTGGACTTACAGGATCCTCCGTCTCCAAGAGAGTCCAAGTGAGGCACTTAGGAAGGTGCCTGTGCTCTGTAGGAGCCAAGAGAAGCCCCAGGCCCAGGGATGCTAGGAGCATGTAAGTGTAATATTCGTTACTACAAGCAGGGCCCTGAAAGGGAAAAGGAGGGCTGGCAGGATGGCTCAGTGGGTAAAGGCACATGCCACCAAGCCTGCCGAGTTTGATCTCCTGGATTTGCATGATGGAAGGAGACAACCAACTCCTCCAAGTTGTCCTCTGACCTCCATATGCATGAGCCTCGGATGTGCATGCGCGTGAGCACGCGAACCGAACACTAAGTAAAAATTGATTTTTCATCAATACACCAAGCAGGTAGAGTAAAACATTGATTTTTACTTAGTGTTACGTTAAGGGAAGGAAAACAGGGAACACCAAGTCTGATGAGCAGTTAAGGCCCCAGGGGAGGGGAGGGGAGGGGAGGGGACCAGTAGAAGAGAGGCCCCAACCCAAAGCAATGACAGCAGGACACCAGAAGAGCTCTGGAAGCCCAGTGAGGTGGCTTATGCCTGTAATCCTAGCACTCAGGAGATGCAACACCCTCTTCTGGCCTCCGCAGGCACCTCCACACGTGGGACATTGGCACAGATACAGACATAGGCAGGATTTTTTTTTTTTTTTAAATTACAAGAAAAAGTTAGAAACCGCTCCAGAAAACCGTAACTAGTCAACATGCAGAGACAGCAGCAGATCCTGGGCTACCCAGCCCCAACAGATACAGTGGCAACACAACTCCTGTGCCTAAGGCTCAGGAAACATGGCGGAAGAGGGGGCGGAAAGATTCTAAGAGCCAGAGGACCATGAAGTCTTCCCGGGATCACATCTCCTAGAATTGACAGGGAAGCCACACCCATGATACC